CTATCGCGCCAAGCGGTGAACGACCGACCTCGTGATCGTGGTGCAAGGTAATAATTGTTACACGTGCATCAAGGGATTCAAAAATAAATACATCTATACTAATATTATAAAGAGGAGAGATTTTTTTGTTTGTTTGTTTGTACCGAATAAGCTCCGAAACTACTGGACCGATTTACATGAAATTTGGTAAGAAGATGCTTTAAGACCCTGAAAAGGACATAGGATAGTTTTTGCCCCGGAAATTATCCCTTAAGGGGGTGAAAATGGGGATGAAATTTCGTATGGAGAATTAAGTATATATTTTTTTAGATGATTTTATCTTACACTAACGACTCACCCTCGCTTCGTTCAGGTTCATCCTTAGGTTCTTGATGCCCCATACAAACTTTTATCGCGATTTTCATACCCTTAAGGGATGGTTTCCGTAATAAAAATATCCTATGTCCTTCCTAGGGTCCCTAACTATCATCTTACCAAATTTCATCTAAATCGGTCTAGTACTTTTTGAGTTTATTCGTTACAGCATACAAAAATACAAATATTTCCTCTTTATAATAGTAGTGTAGAAGTGTAGAACAGTCCTTCAGACAGCGCTAAGGATTGCAGCAGGTAGAATAAAGGTATAACAATATTCAGATATTCCGAGAAGCGTACTACTAAAACCGATGCGTAATTTTCGATTTATAAACAGTGTAGGTGTACCAGTAACAAATATATGTTTGTTGTGTTTTATTGCTTGCTTCTTGCCTAAATGAGCTCTAAATTGTCGGGTCTCGGAATATAAATAAAATTCTTTATTTTAGTTTAAGCGGTTGGTGGACTTTACAAAATTTTCTCTCAGACTTGCAGATCAGGTTCTCTCAGTTTTACAGATTTATTTACGATTTTTTCCTTCGTCGAATATACCAGTAATAATGTTGTAATAATTCACACATGAAAATGTCTGAGGTGCGAAACCTCCATGCAAGCACGTTACTTTTAGAATATAGTAGATACCTATATGAAAAAAATTGTATTGTCGTTAATGCAGCTTGCATTGACTATACTAAATACATTTTCTTATAGTAGAGGAACATTTTTTACATCTTTATATGTACAAATGATAAAATTGGAGTGTCTGTTTGTAATGTCACAATAACAGGCTTTTACTAAATCCACATAAAAGTATATACGGTACTTGTAAGAAAAAATAATTTTTAAATTTTTTGTTTGTTCTGTCTTTCTGTCTGTTTTTTTGTCACGGCTAATCTTCTAAGCGTCTGTATCGATTTTGATATGACTTTCACTTAACGTAACTTAGGCTAATTTTATTTTAGGAGACGAATTAGGGTTCCGCGCAAAAAATTCAATCGCATGAAATTGTGAACAAAACCTGCGTACCGAGACACGCACGCACCTGGGCGAAGCGAGAGTAAGTTGCTAGTTCAATATAAAACAGCCGTTTAGTGATGAACAATTAGCAAAAGACGCTTGCCGAAGATTTTCCTCTCACTTTCGGCGGTATTCCATATTATTTAAAAAGTATAAAAATTGAGCTGTTTAAATTTTATAAGGTAATGCTTAATAAATTCTAATGTGATTCACATCATCACGTGACCTATCTTAAATGAATATTATTTTTTTTTTTTTTTTTTAGGTTATTTCCCCATGCAAACTGTCATCTCCATTTTCACCCCCTTAAGGGATGAAAATGATTTCTGGAATAAACAGTGTCCTATGTCCTTTCCAGGGTCTCAAACTATCTTCTTACGAAATTTAATCTAAATTGGTTCAGTAGATCCAGAGATTACCCCCTACGACCTCGCAAACTCACAAACTTTAACTCTTTATAATATTAGTTTAGATAATTATCTTCATTCAATGATAAGAATGGCCTGAAAAACTATTTCATGAATTTTGGCACGATGTGATATTATTCAAAGTTAAATGTTCTAACAGAAACTTTGACATACTATTGACTCTACATAAGTAGTTAGGCAGCTAGCTCGGTGCTCTACCGCTACTTGAAAGCTGACGGGTAGAGCTCTAATGTAGTTTTGGAAAACACTTATAGTTATGAATATTAGGCAGTATAAAATCACTAGGTAAAGCTGTTACTCAGCTACTATTAAGAGATTTAATTAGGGACCGTTTCTTTAAAGTCAAACTGAAAACACGTTTTTAAAAACGACGCATTACAGGCTCATTTCTTGAAAGTATTTAATTAAAATTCAAATCACACTCAATTGTTAAACGAAGTAATCATGAAACTTATGAGGTTATAATAAATGCAAACGGCAGCGTTATTTATGTGTCATGAATGTCATCCCTGGTTCTAAGGTGACTTTAAAGTCAATATGGACAAAAGTTTAACCAACTTACTAATATATATAAGTATGTTGAGGTATACGTAATATATATAAAATGGCGAGTACTTAACATTGAACACACACTGGATGAATGTAATTCTAAATATAATTTGTTTTTTTTTTCCATATTTTACTAATTTATTTTTAAATTTGTCAAGTAATTTAGAAATCAAAAATATATGTATTACCTATAGAATGATATAAACATTGCTTACGCTAAAAGGTAAGCGGGGATCGTTTAGTTTAAATTCCCGTTTGACCGCAGTGTTTCCAACCTTTTCCGAGAAGCTTATGTAAGTTTTTTTCACGGCCTCGTGCGGCTGTCTAACGAATATTTTTTTCTCCTAACAAATTTAATTTTTAAACTAACAATTTATTTTTTTTGGATATTAATTTATATTAAAATTTTTATTAACAGTGCAGAGTATTATAAAAATGACAATAATCTAAATATCTTAGGAGAACACTGGTTCTATACCTACCTCTTTTATCGCAATATAATTAATTGTCCCTTAAGAATTAATAACAGGTTATATTGTTCCGGTGATAAATATTTTACTAATTTTCTATAGATACCCCAGAAGTATAATAATTACAACTTATCGATCAGGTTAATTTTAGTATTTGATATTTTTATTTATTAACTTGCATTGACCAAAAACCAAATTCTTAGGTTTTACAGACAGGCGCGGTGGGGGACTTTGTTTTATAAAACGGTTATACGCTTTGTTTTAACGGTTAGTATAGAATAGACAGAATATTATGTATTATACGAGTATAAGTACATATTATTTTTTCCAACTTAAACTTGACGCATTGTTGTAGATGTAGATGATAGATCTTCCACTAATGCCATCTATTGAAAGTAATCCGAAGTAGTGATTTCCACACAATATAAATAGTTCTGAATTCTTTCATTATCCATCTGTTCTTATGGGTTTTTCCTATTTTTTTATACTTATACCGCCCCTGATACACCCTCCACATAATAAAAAAAGAATTATTCAAATCGGTTCAGGCGTTTTCGAGTTTTGCGAAACAGACTCACAACAATTGATTTTTATATACATATATATATATATATATATATATATATATATATATATATATATATATATATATATATATATATATATATATATATATATATATATATATATATATATATATGTATAATTTATATTACAATATTATTTATTTTTATGAATACTTTATAAGTACGTTTCGTACTATCAAAGTACTTCGTTGCTGATTTTTTCATACGGGCCACAGAATAAGTATTATGATGTTATAAAATTGAAAAACTCTTAATATATTTAGTCTAATTATATAATTCATAGACATCATACGTGTAGCGCCTTCCTGGCAAGAAAACTTCTACATTGAATTGAATAAAAATTGTTGTAACTTCAACACTACTTGCTTAATTTAAATGAAACAGAAACAGGTGTACTTCTAATTATTTAGGCTACACGGTCATAAAGTTTCAAGTCATCTTACAGACCTAGTGAGTAGTGACATTCTTCATTTTTTTCTATAATTCTTTATAGGCTGTGGCATGTCTACTTTTTCTGTAAATGTAAAAATGTAGTCTTCTCTCTAAATTACTATCATCCATGATTACTATACTCTTTGGCAGTCTATGACCAATGTCAAAGAAGAATTGTAGTCACTCTAAATATCTTAACTTAGGGGCTTTCCACTAAAATTTAGGGGGGGAGGGGATTGCGCCGGGGGTTTTTAAGGAGGAAAAAATGTAGGGGCTTTTTTGGGGTTTTCTTCTTTAATATCATGGGTCATGACTTAAATATAAATAACTTTAACGATTCTTTTTATTTGTAAATAAAAGTAGGTATTTTTTTCTAAATAATTAAACTTGTTATCTGTGATTATTAAATTTATGTACAACGAAGCAAATCCTTAACTTTGACATTTGTAAATGATCGAACTTTTTGATGAGTTAACTATTTTAATTTTTGAATTCTTTTTTAATAAATATGACATCTAGTGGTGGACCGCATAATGCCATAAATGGTAACAATTAACATTTCTGTTTGTTCTGACAACCAGTGTAGCCAACTTAGGGGCTTTCCCCCAAATTTAGAGATAAAAAAATGGCACCGGGAATTTTTACAGGGCAAAAATATTTAGTCCTTTTTTAGAGGCTTACAAAGTTTCGGTTAAAAACATGGGAAAATTATATTCCTTTTTTATTATTTTCTAAGTTATTTATCGAATTTATTATTGTTTTAAATGGTTATATGTAATTATTGTAATAATAACCATAAATAAATTTTATACGTTTGTAATCATTTAAAATAAAAAATAAAATATTTAAAAATAAAAAATATATATTATATAAAAACCTATATTATTCAAATTGTTACTTAGGCAGTTTTAGGGGTTTTTGAAATTACTTTAGGTGGATAAAATTTCAAGTGCTGGGCAACACTGCAATGTGCATGGATAACATGGATACGCAGGATGACATTTGACATTGACAAATATAGGAAGAATCAAGAAACAGAAAGTCTTGAGTTTATCTAAATTTTAGATGTATTTTTTCTAAAACTAAATTAAAATTGATTAAATTTAAGATACTTGTAAAGAAAATAATTTATTGTAAAATTTAAGGAAGTCATAATTGTTGATATGGGAGGCGGGGACTTGGTAACTATTTTTAAAATATGTATTGCATCGTTTATTGAAAATTATCACAATATTTGCTAAGTGCTTGTTAGGAATTAACATAATTAATTTTAAATATATGCTTATTTGACCAACCAAGTATTTGTTTTTAGAATACAAAAAAAACTTGGCATCCTAGTACATTTAAAAATCAAGAACGAGTATGGAAAGCAGAGCAAGCAGCAGCAGAAGAAAAGAAACGTATTTTGGAGTTGGAACGGGAACGAGCCCAGGAAAGAGACCGTGAAGAGTTGAATGAGTTAAGCAAGCCAAAATCTAAAGATGACCGCTTACATTGGATGTATGATGTAAGTAATAATATAAAAATATGTTAGTACTTTTAATATGTAGACATAATTATTCTAAATAATTGGTAAACTCCCTGAAGTGTAATAATATTATGTAATAATATATAACATGTTTATTTTATACTATTGTAAGCTAGCAAGGCTTATCATGACCTATTATGGTATTTGTGAATAAAGACAAGTTTTTGATTAGTATCTTTATACATTATTTGAACTGTCCATTGCTGTGAATATGCATAATTTTATTGAAAATTGAGATCTATGTAAAATGTACTAAGAAAAACAGGCTTTATTATTTCTTTTGTTTTTATTACTTTAACATATTATTATTTAAATGCACATTTATTATAATATTGTTGAAAATTAAATTAAGAGTCCTGAATATTCTTCATGATATTTTTTTGTAGTGCTTTTGTATCTGATATTTGTGTCTCTTCAGTGTACAACAGATAAGATTTTATTTAGCAATATGTGTTTATGTGTTGGATTATAAATTTGCACTCGGATTGCTAAACAATGCATCATTGTAGTAACTTGATAGTTTTAATCAATACTTTTAGAAACCTGATAAGAAGGTTCAACAAGAAGATTATTTGCTGGGGAAAGCAATAGACAAAAACTATGACCAAAGTAGTAAAATTGAAAATGACATACCAGCTGTATCACGCAGAGTGGTGGGCTCGAGTATGCTCACATCAGCTGGTGATGTTCAAGTTGACTTAGCACGGAAACTACGAGAAGATCCTTTATTGATGGTTAAAGAAAGAGAAAGGGCAGCAAGAGCAGCTCTTCTAAACAATCCAGTCCAAAGACGACGACTCACAGAACTGTTACGGAAAGAACAGGTAATTGCATGCTACATAATATTAAAAGAGTACCACATATCATTATTTATATATTGTGCTGGTGGATTTTTTTATTTATGTATTTTACTTATATATTGTAACAAGCAGTACCCGCGCCTTCGCCTGCGTCCAAACTTCCGGTTGCTAACAAAATTCACACGATCACCCGCTGGACTAATCTGAAGATTACCAAAAAATTTCATCAAAATCGCTCCAGCTGTTTTGGAGTCCATAGGAAACATACATACACACATCAATCGTGTTTTCAAACCATCCAGGAGCCCATTCAAATATACATACAAAATTTCATCAGTCCAATCCTTTAGGAGGAGTAGGTTAACAAACACACAGAAGAATTATATATATGTATTAAGATTAAGATTGTAATTTAAGTCAGATGGATTTACATTTACATACCAGTAGCTTAATGTGATTTAAAAGTTTATTTAATTACCCTATTTGTTACATGTATAATTTTGAGGAGACTGTTTATGTTACCTACCTTAGTTCTAATAGTCTAGAGGCAGACAGACAAAACTTATTTAAAGAAGTTCATTTTTGTCAGGACTTTAATTATTATGAAAATAAAATATAATGATATTATAATTATTTTAATTACCTTATTCAATATCACATTTTTAATTATTATTTTTAAATTTTCAATTTTAATATATAAAATATATCATATATAGTTTCCATTTGTGGTATTTCAGGAGCAGAAAAATGCACAAAAAAGCGAGAAAAAATCAAAAAAGAAAGGGAAAGATATAGATGATTTACTTGCAGCAAAGTTAAATGCTTTAGGTGGTGAAAAGGGAATGAATATTGCCAAATTGCTTGAATCAGATGATTCATCATCAGATAGTTCTTCGGATGAAAAAAGTAAAAAAGAAAAAAAGAAAAAGAAGAAGAAAAAACAAAAATCTAAAAAAAGTAAACATGATTCTGACTCTGATTCTCCACACAAAAAAAAGAAATCCAAGCAAAAAAAGAAAAACTTGAAAGAGTCTAGTGAATCAGAATATGAAGAAAAAAGAGTATCTAAAGTTAAACATGTAGATAGTAGTAAAAAAACTTCACCGTTAAAGAGAAAATCTACTAATGACAGCAGTGATTATGGAGCTTCTCCCCATAAGAGGTCAAGAAAGGACCCCTCACCTTATAGAAAAAGATCTGAAAGAAAAAACAAGGACGATATCCGGGATGAAACTAGAGATAGAAAATATGTAAGAGAACAAAGTTATGAAAAAAGAAGAGGAGAAGAGAAAAAAGATAGTTGGGTTCAAGGAAATAAAAGCTCAAAAGGTCTCAGTGAGGAGGAGAAAGCTGCGAAATTGGCGGAAATGGTTGCTGCAGGGGCGGAAAGGGAAGTACAACGTGGTAAACGTGTTGCTGAACAAAGATCAGAAAATACATCTGAAAAAATTTTGCCCAGATTTCAGTCATCTCGAAATGAAGCTCGTACTTTGCCCGATTCTCTCGAAAGTCGTATCCATTCAAACAGACATTATATTCAGCGCGGCCAACGCCACATGAATGAACACTTTGCACGACGGTAATATTTAAGGAACTTATTAAAAATAAAGTCGTTAATCATTTTAATATTGCGTTTTATTTATATAAATTATATTTGATATTAATGAAAGGAATACATATTAAATAAACTTAGTTATAATAATTGAAATAAAAAATTAAATCTGATACAATAATTCCACCGTTATATCATATTCTTGCTACCTATTATAGATTTACAATTACGAGTAATATTCGAATTTAAGGCGATTTCTTTGAATACTGCAATGTGTGACTGAAAGACGTGCTTAGTCCAGTGGTATCTTCTCTCTCACGATCTGCAACATAAAGAAGTGAAAAATAAGACAATCATACATTAAGAAGAAAAGAATGAATATTACCATTTACCAATTAATAAAAAGTTCAGAAGTGTATGGATTAAGTTCATATTTAAAACACTGAATGGTGGATGATTCTTGAGTACCTCTGCGCACATTCCTGCGTATATGGGGTCAGTGTCCCATGGGCCGCGCTCGGGCAGAGGGAGCGCGCGACGGCGCAGTTCGGCCACGAGCTCGCTCACTTCCATGATTGGGATCGGGTCGAGCGCTCGCGCTAGACCCGCCAAGTACTCCACGTAGTGCATCCTGTAAGAAAATACCTCATAAACACACCTCTATCAGGCCCCGTTTGTAGAGGCCGTCGAGCGAGCCGTAGGGGCGTGGCGGCGGACGCAACGCAGCCCGGCGTACTAGAGTTTCTAAGTCATCCACTCCCAAGATCGGCAGCGGGTCGATCTTCTGCCCTCGCACCAGGCGGCTCAAATACTCCAAGTAATGGTTCCTGGAACAACACGCCGCACTGACCACCGCCTGATCTTCTATGCACCCCTTGTACATTGCAGTCGGCGCAGTACATCAAACAACAAAAGCGTGGGATGACAAACGGGTGATGAAGAGGTATGTTTTAATTTAAGTTTGTGGATAAAAATAATGTTTTAAAGTAAGCTGATTCATGGGGGTTTTTACGCACTTGCAGAGTCCTGCTTGCTTCGGTTGCACCTCACTGCCACATGTAGTGTCTATGAGTCCAGTGGGCGTTTCACGTTGAAGCTGTGTCGGACATCGATTGTTGTTGGAATCTGCTGCTTCTGTTTCGTAAGTAACGTTATTCATCTGAAATGAAATTTTATCAAACAGCTGTTAATATTGGTTTGTTTTTATCTATTTTAATTTGTAGTATATTATTATTACATTAATATATTAAGTATTAAGATTTCAACTTTGTATTATTTATACGTACTTGCAAAAGTGTTTGCAATTCATGCGGTTCCTTGTCGCGAAGGTAAAAGAGACAATTACGTGGATGATGTGCGTGCAGGCCTAGCTTGGCGCAATATTCGCTTAATCCACACCGAGCTCCCATTGTGAAAGGCTTCCCGCAGCCGTAGCAAAACTCATATTTACATTGAGTGCACGTAAAGTGCATGCAGCCACCTCTGGAAATAATCCAATGTATTTCAGACGCTTTATACATTGGCGAGCTATAACAGAGGTAGTAGTGAGGCAAATCATTGATAGATAAGCAAAAATATTTATAGATGAGTAATATCTATTACTATATTTTTTTACTTACCTCGATAATGAATATTTAAAGTGGCATCTTGGACAATCCAGCCCATTTTCTTTAAGATGCTGCTGTACGGCTACTATCGACCGTTCAGGATCGTTGTCTTCCAACCACGCTGCGTATTGATCGCACGATAATCCATCGTGATTTGCATTCCACTGTAACAATTTATCATTAACTAAGTGAAAAATTCATATCCTAGCGGAAGAAATATTTTAAATTAATACCAAAATAGTAAGTGAATAAGGAAAATGTATATTTCTTACCGGTTTCCTGCAGGTTGCACAAGTCACTGATTTACATTCTGGACAACGGAGTTTCTTTTGTTTAGGATGAACAAAGAATCCGGAAGAGCATTCAACACACCATCTAAAATTAGGATCTCGTGCAAGCGTTCTGTCTCGTAACTGGAATAAGTAATTGCGATATAGTTAGTCGTGGTGCAATAAAACGACTAGAAAAAAGATGAAACTCGTCTACACTAAGTTCGATATAATAGGTTTCACTAATACCTTTCTTTGAAATAGTTCATGTATTTCGGTTTCTAATAATGTCTTTAGTAATATATCCATATGGGCAAAGTAATCAAGCCAATCATCTTCTGGAAGGTTTTCTAATTCTGGCTCCTTACAATATGGGCAAACGCAATCTGCGATACTGCGTTCTGTGATTTGTACTGTAAAGTAGTGACGGGCACATTCACGACAACATCTATGTGTACAACGTAACATGGAAACCATCTGAAAAATTTAAAATATGGTAAGTACTTTTTTTATGGGAAATTCTACGTTAATTAGGGAATTATATCTTCTTTGCTTTATTTATACCTCATGTTCAGGAAATTTGGAAGCGCAAAGTTCACAGTCTTGATGTAAATATACAAGAGCAGAATTTAAATCAGCGCATTCTAAGGCTGCCAAGAGTGCAGAAGGTGGGTCAGTTCCTTGTGAAATCAGGTCTACTGCTAATTGAGCTTGTTCCCATGTCTCCATCGCTCCTTCGGCTAGCAACATTCTTGCTTGCCTCTAAGAAAGATAATTAAAAATTATTACAAATTTTGGAACATACTGATATATAATTTATATAAAATATAGTATATAAAAATACCTCTGGCGAACCTTCCGGAAGTTGAACTCTTGCTAAGTCAATCAGTTGACCGGAAATTTGACGTACTGTGATTGGTTGTGGTATTGAAACTGTTGTTGGTACGGTCTCTTCTTCTTTGTTAAAAATTTCAATATTTTTTTCTTCTGTATCACTTTCTGTCCATTCGTCTTCGGTGCGACATGTTTCTCGGAAGAAATTATCATTTTTCTTTTTTTTGAAAGTGACATCATCCGGTGAACCTTGTTTGGTTCGTCGTACAGGCGGTGGAGGTGCGGGTTTCTTTTTGTTCATTGTTGAAGTTGAAGGTTTTACTTCTGGCATTGAAAGTGTCTGAAAGCTTGTTTTAATTTCTTTTTCATTGAATAGTCTTGTTTGTAGCTGTTTGACGTGACCACTTTGAACGTTTCCAAAATGACTCTTGGGCGGGTTTGGTGCATGATATTGTTTCAGACTGGTTCTTCGAATCGGTACCTTGGATGCAAGTACTTTTGGCATATTCTTGTTTTCTGTTTTTTGCTTATTACTTTGGATAGTTTTAACTAGTTTAGGAATGTTTGATTTATTTAATGTGGTTAATGTTTTTGCTTTTTCTTTACTGTTTGAATTATTTTTTTCTGAGTGTATTATTTCTAAAGTAGTCGCATTTGTCATTGAAATATCTTTAGTTGTATTAATATTCGATAAAACAATTTCATTTTCTCTTGATTTCTCAAGGTTTGTGGGTTGTGGTAAAATTTCTGTAGATTCGTTTTTAATGTTCACAACAGACTCTGATAGTGAATTTGACAGAATGATTGCATTTTCATTTGAAGCTGTATGAATGCTAGAATTATTAATATTATTTTCTTCCTTTTCACGAAGAACATTTAATTCTGCACTAGCCACTTCGTTTTTTTCAGTACATTTATTTAAATCTTTTAAAGTTGCATTACCTCCTTCTTCTTTATGATCTTTAATACCATTTCCAACATGGTCAAATTTTTCAAATGGTTGCTCTGAATTTTCTATGAATGCAGTAAAAAAATTATGGTTGTATTCGTTAACAGATAACTTTACAGGAGCATTGAGTTTAAAATAACCTAAATTCATTGCTTCCCTATGGTAAATTTGTGCAGATTGCGGTTTTTGCGCAACAACATTACTGATGTCTATAAAGTTCATTTCTTCATTTAAGTTTGAATGTTCTATAATTTGTTCTTTGCTTAACTTATTTTGCGCATGATTATTTAATTGTGCATAAATTTCTTCAAAAGAATCAACTGCAGCAAATAAATTATTATTTAGGTCTTGACTTTTTTCTTCATTTTCTCTTAATTGTTTATCATTTATTTCAATTACTATACTACGTTCTTCTTGCAAACTTCGCGCTATAGAATTTAATATATCTACATTAGTTTGCTTAAAATCTTCAAGCTCATTTTCCACGTGATCCATTGCTTCTTCGAAATGTTCATTATCTTCTGAACTCGTTCTTTGAACATCTATTCTATTCTCAGAGTGGCTATTTAATTCATCACCACTTGAAAGTTCTTTTTCATCAGATGTTAATTCTTCTGTTTCTTCTTCAGCAGTATCACTGTAACTAGATTCTTTTTCAGAAGAAAAATGAGATTCATTGGCGCTGTCCCCAGTTTCACTTTGGGTGTCACTTTTATCGGGCATGGAATTTATATCAGAATTTATTTCTTTTTTCATTTGTTGAATTAATTTTTGTGTATTGTCAACTATATCACTTAGATTATTATTAGGTTTATCTTCCTTTATATCTAATATATTACTGCTAAGGTTATTTCGAATGCTATCTTGTTTACTATCTATACTATTATTGGCATCAGTATTTTTATTTTTTTCTTTTTTTTTATTGACTTTCAAAGGTTCATCAAATGATAATTTTGTAGTAGGCAGATTTTCTAATTTTGTTAACGAAGTGTTAGATTCGTTTGGCTCTTCAGATTGGATTTCTCTTGTGTTCGCCGAAGATCTTTGGTTATTCACGACGTTTTTTTGATGATTTTCAACATTATCTTGTTCAGAGGGATTAGCTGATTCGGAATGATCATATTTTGGTAAATTTGGTAGAGGACTTAGCCTTGTTAATGCATTATAGGCATTAATAAAGTCATTTTCAGATTGAATAAAATCTGAATTTGATTTTTGTTGTAAAAGGTTTTTATTATTATCTGTAGGTTCTTTTTCCTGATTTAATTGATTGTTTAGCAAACCTTTTAAAAGTAGCTTTTCATCAATAGTAGGTATACCAGCTTGAGCCAGGAGAACTTTTAACTTTTCTGCGATGTCAGAATTATCATTGTATTGTTCATTATTGCCCTCTGTTACCATTGGCCGGTCATTTTTTGCATTTGTCGTATTCATATCTAAAGGTAAGTACATCCAGTCATCATCTTGAAATTTATTTGTCGTTACTTCAAATTCATCTGAACTGTCGTCTGCTGAAATGTAAACGTGAATGTTATGATGACATATTATGATGATATGGTTTTTTTATGTAATTGTTACTGGTTTTTGTGGTGCTTTAGATTACCGCGAAAGCGGTGTAAGCGGCCGGATAAACTGGCAGGAGGTGCGGCGTCATCATCTGCCCCAGTTGGTGGACCCCACACGTGACCTCGCAGTCTACCTTCTTCACCTACACCAATATTTTCTGTCTGAAATCATGTTATTAACCATAAAGATTACAAATAATTCGCTGCACAATCAATTTCGCAAATTCACAATTTGGCATTGTAAAGTAACTTAATATTATTAGAATACCTGCCGTCGACATCTTTCGACGCACTCATTAACTGCAGGCCACATTGCACCTCTGTGCTTTGCTAGTGCCGCTCGAGCATCAAGTTCCGTGACATTGACCCCCGGTGCTAAACGGGCTGCAGCTGCTCGCACTCCTGCACATAAACTGGGCCATCGCTCACTCAACCACGCTAATGGTGCTATTGGATTTTGAGCTAAAGCTGCATGAACTTCTGCCGCGCTGAATCCAAGTCTCTCAGCTTCACTCATTAAACGAGCAAGCTCTAAGCCTCGTTCCGCCTCGCGTCTTAAGCCGCCACCTGCTAACGCTTCGAGTGATATGGCTTTATTACTCGACAACGGTTCAGGAGAAGGTGCCTAAAACACAAATATGCGAAATATGTTGATCCATTGTAATTTTTTTAATTTGAGTTTTATGAAGGATAAGCAAGATTGATTAATAAAATTTAACAAGAAAACTAAGATTAAATTATCAAAAGACTTAACATCAATATAAAATAAGTCTCTCTTAAGAATATTGAAAAATGTTCAGAATTTTGCTGTTAGAAAAATAAATTAATAATATCCACGTGCATTCAAATTACAGATCAAGATGAAGATTTTAACTAAAATTAAAGTCTCAAGTTCAAACCTACCAGTTTAGTAAATAAAAAGGTATGAAAATTATCCTTCATATTTTTTTCAAATCAAACTTAACTTATTAATATTACTCAATTATACCTCGGAGCCATACATGCTGGTACGTCGTACAGGTCGCCTCCGTAAGTCCAAATGAGAAGCACGACGTGTAAGTCTACTCGCCCGTCGCCTCTCGGCCTCGCTCCAGTCGCCACTGGGACTGCTGTCGCGAGGCTCGCGCCACTCCCACCTTCCACCACTAGTGTGGACACTTCGTTCACTTTCCTAAAGTAGCAAAAGCAATTTTGACTAAATATTAAATATAAATATTTATATAGTATTGAAAATATTAATCTGAACATTTAACTTATTTCATTTTCGTCCAATATTGTTGTATATATTTATGTTATAGGTATACAAATATTATATACGTAATTGTTGAAAGTTAAAAAAAAAATTACTCTTTGAAAGTTTTATATCCTATTAAATAACTGCTAACTTACACGAGTGTCACTTGACAAGGACATTCTACTATGTGATCTCTCTCGGTGTGTCTCATCTCGCATGCGACGGCGCGGTCGAGACCGCGAAACCGATTGAGCTCGATCCCAATTGTTTGGTACTTCATATGTCTAAAAACGTAAATGAAATAAATTTGACGTGATTATAAAAGATATTGTTAAAATAATAACGATGATTGTCATGGCGCATTGGATGTACTACTCAGTGTCTTATGTACTACTCAGGAGGTGGCATTTACTATTTTTGCATAGAGTGGAGAAAATTTGTATTATGCAGATTTTAGTTTAGTTGATAAAGACAAAATTTAATCCATATGATTTTCTTAGATTTATTTAAAATTTTAAATAATTATTTTTTCGGATTTTGATGTCTTTATTATCGTCTAAAGCATTCTAAACGTCGGGAACCAAAAATCAAAACATTAGTTTTGCACTTATACAAATCCGAAGAGATAGTTTTATTTCAAAAATTAGCTCCTACAAAAAATATTCTGAAATTTAAAGACATTAGAAAACGCTATTATCTTTTGGTTTTTGTTTGCCGAGACAAAGACAGGAGGTAAAGAAAAAAAATATACTTTTACGTATAATTCTCATGAACAATTCGTACTCACTTGTGTAGAAATACTTTGTGGTGGCGGAGATGTTGCTGTGTTAGTACGACTAGATCTGGATGAAGGTCGGATATCAACTTCGCGAGGAGGAGAGTTTCCAACGAACTTTTTTTGAAAATTTGACGAATTACTTAAAGCAGATATTGTGCTTTCTCTAGGCGGAGAAGGACCAACGGAAACACTGTGGACTATCTTTGAACTTTCACGTTTAGCAGAAGAAGGTTTTGGGCTTGTATTTTCATAACTTGAAGATCGAGCGCTGACAGAATTTCTTGACAGAGGTCGTTGGTTATTTTGTAATTCTTTAGGTGGTGACGGCCCAACTGCTATATCGTGACGTATGCTCCTTTGTTCTATTCGATCTTTATTTTGCTCTCTAATTGGAGGAGTGGTTAGTCTATTTGCAGATTTGGACACAGGTTTATCTTCCCTCGGTGGAGATGGTCCACATGCTGTTGAGGTTCGTTCTTTAGTTGATTTGCTTTTATTTACTCTGTCTTCTGGAAAGTTAACACAGTTATTATTAGATTGAAGTGTATAAACAAATGTATCTTGTAAAATATACATTACCAGTTTTTAAATGAGGCTGTTCCGCGTTTTGACTTGAAGGCAAAGAAGGTGATCGTGAAGATTTCTCGTTTATTTTAAGTTTTGCTATACCATTATTTATAGAATCTGTTATAATTTTAGGTTTAACGGTTGGTGTCCGGCAGCAAACTGCACATACGCGAACACCGGGCCCATTTACAAATGTACAATGTTCACATTGCCAAGTTGCACTAGGTGGCGGCGGAGCAGGGCCTAATGAATCTTCTTGTTCCTTGTCTTGTAATTCTAGATGTTCACTTTCAATTTCACTTTCAGAGTCAGCATCACTTGAAGGTAGAGGAGGGGGTGATGGAGTCCGATGCTTAGACCGCCGCGACGTGCGTGACCGCACACTCATAGCGGGTGAGGGTGGACGTGAACCAGCTCGGGAGGCGGCTCGTGATGCTGCACGGCTTTCAGCTATACAAATAAATTAATATTAATTGTATTTAAAAACGAAAATGAAAAATGAGCTTAGAAAGTTAATAATTATAATAAATCTTTATTGTACGTGTCAAAAAACGAGAAAATTTAAATAGTGGTTTTTGTGCTGTTTATTTTGTGAATTCAATTTTTTAATCAATATTTAACATAGGCTAGTAATGTATAAAAATACAAAATATTGTTGGTGCACTGTAGTTATATAATACAGATATTTATACCTCTACGATATGGTTGCGGAGTTTGCGGCGGATGAACGTGTGTATGCGGCATCAAACGTGGGTTGTGTGCAGAAGGGTGAGGCGTACAGCATGCTTGAGGCCACGGGTTGGCTCCGGGTCCAAACCACTGAGGCTCTAAGTTCGCACAGCTACCATATCGCCAGGGATTTGATGTGCAATGAGCGCAACCAGCGCAGCCAGGAGCTCCTAACTCCATAACCGATGTGCCCCGCCTTAAGGGTCGGCCCCAGCTTTGACTTGACAAGTTCTCTTGAACTTCCCATGGTTCTAGTGCTGAAGGTTGTTGAACCTTTGAAAAATGGCATATACTTATTTTCATATAAAAAATCTAATTTCGATACTATGATAAATTAAATATATATAGTAACTTATTCCTACAATAAGCCTATGGTTTAGAAATTGTGTTTGTATTTCTAATAACATTCAAAACTAAATTATAAGAATAATTTCATGTAGGTATAGTAGATAGATACCATATTTGGGTGCATGTTGAATCCTGACATGGACCCTCGTTGTCGATTCCATGATGAGAAATGTCCTAATGTATTTGATTGATCTTGAGCCGTAGGTGCATTTACGTGGTTAACAGGATTTGGCAAGTACGGCATGCTGCCCATGTGTGGTGGCATAGACGGCACAACGCCCTGAGGATGCTGCATTTGAGCGCGTTGCGTTGTAATATGGTTTACATTAGTTATTGTGGCCATTTGACCCATTTGATTATGAAGTCCAACTGGCATACTGAGTGTAGCTCGACGTTGATCTAAGCCGGGCGGGCGTGGACTTGCACTTAGGCGATCACCGCTTATCTGCATACAAATATTTTATAGGTATAGTTAATAGATACAGAAAAATATTTTTTATTCATTAGTACTTTTACTACCTTATGTCTTCGCGGCGGTGGTACCGGTGGAGCGGTTTTTGGTGGCAGGGGCGGCCTTTCATCACGTATTTGTGAAGTAGAAAGCGCCTAAAACATTTAATTAAATAATAATAATAATTAAAAACATACCATTAATTTTTTCTATACTAACATAAGAGATATTATAACAGGTAGGTGTACTACTCGTAGTATATAAAGTTATTGGGTGCCATAAAATATTAAATGAGATATGAATTATTGTAATTTTTTTCTTTGTGCCTATTGTTGTTAATTCATACGTCACTTTGTAAACATAACAAGATCGATCGTGGGCATTCCGCCAATATTATGACGCGAGTATTTATTTAGGACTAATCGTCTCTATTAAGAGACACAAGTGTTCTAGCTGCGTGCAACGTTGTTAATCATAGATAACAAAAATTATATCTAATACGCATTAACATCATTTATAACTGCAAAAGAGGCGATGAGAAAAGAGTTTCATCAATTAAGGTAGCTTTTGGTCTAGATAGAATATGAACAATATTGTGCAAGCTACTATTAACTTCTACTTCGATCTCTAGCTAGAAGAATAAATGAATTAAAATATGATTTATTTACTTGTCGTTGATGATGTCTTCGCTTAGGATGGCGGTGGTACATATCATCACAAGACGCGCACAGAGCACGACGCCCGCACTCTGTGCATCGCACTCGGGCGCCGCCGCCGCCGCATAAGCCACAGGAAGCGTCTGCATCCACAGGATGGCCTATGACAGTTGTTAAGTAAATTAAAAATATGTATGCTTATAATTTATTAACACACTTAAAATTATACTACCAATAAAAATTTGTACTTTTGCATTAGATACATACACAACTACGTGTACATATAGGTACATGTGTATTTTCAATTAGTTTAGAACCTTTTAGCTGTATATAACACTAGCATTTCCCGCGGCTCCGCCCGCGTTCAGATGACTAAACCCAAATAAAATAGCGCTATTGTTATTTTATTTCAAGTAAGGTATTTTTAATAGTTTTTGCCTTATTTAGTAGGTTACTTTGCTAAAATTATATATTATAGTATCATCGTGGTTTTATTCTAACCAGTTTTTGTATTTTTTCTCAGGAATGAGATATTTTCCTGCGGTAAAAAGTATCCTATATGTTGACCCGGATAACCAGCTATGACCATACCAAATTTCATCAAAATCCCTCCAGTAGTTTCTCTGTGATGCGGTAAGAGACAGACAGACAGACAAGAATTCTAAAAACTGTAGATTCAGCCTCTGTATCGATAATAATGTCTATTTCAATAAGGTTTTCCAAAAAACATTTAATGTACAGATTCGACTTAGTTAGAATTTCATTATATGTATAGATTATATTAAATTGAAGGCTCCGCCATCCTACATAATTGCTCGACATAGATTTGCTGGTGACTGCGTGCGAATGAATACATTACTCGTATATTGCTATTTTTTAGTCCACAAATATTTTTTCATAATCACCGATCTATACGAGTATAAAGAGCTCAGGCAGTAGGTACATTTTTACTCAACTTATTGAAATGAAACCGAGGTTCTTTTAATTTTATGGACTACTAGCGACTCACCCTTGCTTCGCTCGGATTCGTTCTTAAGTTTAAAAATTAGTATAGATTTCTCAGAGATTAGATATTTTTCCACAGTAAAAATTATCCTAAATGATGACCCGGATAACCAGCTATCATCATAGCAAGTTTCATCAAAATCTGTCCAGTGGTTTTCTCGTGATGCGTTCCCAGGTAGATAGACAGACAGACAAAAATTCTAAAAACTAGATTCCGGCCTCTATATCAATAATAATGACCATTTTAATAAGATTTTCCAAAAACTATTTTATAGTACATGTTACCAAAATCCTGCAATATAGTCTCCTGGAGGCAAAATAATTCTACATATTTTGTAAAAAAAACTCAATTTTGAAAAAGATATTGAATGAGCAATTATTAATCATATCAATAAATCATCAATATTAATCAATACTAATATTATAAATATTGTGAAAGTTTATGAGTATGGATGTTTGTTACTCTTTCACGCCAGAACGGCTAAACGGATCTGGATGAAATTTTGCACACAGAAAGATTATAGTTTGGAATAACACATAGGCTATTTTTTATCCCAAAAAAATGTACGGTTCCCGTGGGATAAGTTTGTTTTTGTTGTCCTAGAGGCGAACCCGAGCGAAGCGAGGGTGAGCCGCTACTACTATTATTATATATTGCGAAAGTTTATATGTTCGAGTATGTGTGTTTCTCCTTCACGCTAAACCGGCGGGAAGGATTTGGATGGAATTACCTACTACTCGCTAGTACTTATATATCGAAAATAATTTATTTACCTGTAGGGGGTCTGGGGGGTGGTGGAGGGGGTGGCTGCAGCTTGGCGTTAACATACTGTTCGTTAGGGAACTCCACCACTTCGTAGTCTGGTTCAGGTTTTGCTATCGGGGCGCGTTGTATCATAGACCGCACTGACATTGTAGGGGTGTTTGGCACCGCCGTACGCGGGTCACGCCCTCGATTCTTTAACATCTACAAACAGCATATAAAACTATTGTTATTTTTATACGATCTAAGAAAAAAAGTGCTTTTAACGGTTTTTTATGATGCATAACAATATTGTTTGATATATTGTATTAAGATATATTTAATTTTATATTGTATGTAAAAAAGGTTACAAAGTGATTCAAATACAGGTATTACCTATTAACTATTTGGTATATCTAATTAAATTTAACTTCGATGTTCTAAAGAGCAACTGTTAAGTTTCTTGCTTACGCTTCTCAGCAGAGCTGCTTTCCATGAATCATCTAATTGAATATATATATACATTGAAATGTATACAGCCAATATAACCAGTGACCTACGTCTTTAGGCTTAAGATGTCTTACGGCAACTTCACAGGTCAGAACAGTAGAAAATAGTTTAATGCATAACCACGAATACAGTTTCATAACCTACTTTGAAAGAATTTGTGTCGTGGCGTAAGTAAATGGGAACGGGATCGTAAGTCAAATTATACTCGTAGGTACATTGTTAACGATATACTTGAACAATATCAACAAAAATAGATAATAAAGAAAAGTCGGTTTTTACTCGGTCGGTAAAGTCGGAGATTACGACCGGCTATTAAACTCTCTGGCCTTATTTCTTACATTTAGTTCTTGCATGAAGCTCTAAGCTTGATGATGCTCTTCTTTAAAGCCCATTTAATAGGCGATGTACTTTTTCAGAATCCTAATATGTTTATAAAACAGGATAAAGCAATTTTTAGCCTTTTTAAATTGACATGATGACTAAAGTTAAATGTTTGTTTTGTAAAGCTGTTGTTGCAGCGGGTGGTCTATTTTCTCATAAAAACATTATGCAACAGAAGTGTTCTTTGTAGCTATTTACATCGTCATTTTAAAGCATAAGTTATTGAGCCATAAAATAGTTGAATGACTTCTAGTCGAGTGTCTAATTTTTGTTTTACTTAGAACTTGGTTGGACATAATTTTCAATGACTTTATTACTATTTTTACTCTTATACACAGCGCGTTTTTTTAAAGATATAGCACATTCATATACTAGGTATCAGCGGGCTGGTTTTATAATTAAAGGTTTTTATGGGGAACAATATTTTTGGGTATCATAGAAACCTTGCTACTAGATATTGATTTGAGCTTCCAAAAGTCCATTCTTACGGGTAACATATTACCTATATCATTAAAGGAATAATAGGATAAATTTCTGACCGTTAAGCCCATCGTTTTGATCTGGACGATGATAAACCAATCATACTTTTTAAATTAAAAGATTATATATTTCTAGCATGAATTATCTATATGAAGCATAAAAATTATATATCATCATACATATGCTTTCTTATTTTATTACACAAAATGCTTACACGTTTAATTTGCACTTTATTGATTTTACTTGTCAGAATTATAACTTTGCACTTTTATGCTTAATAATATATTTATTTTAATAATAGATTTTAATTCGTGCAAACTACACGGCAGCTGTGACCGGGATAGGGCGGGCGTTGCCGCGTCGCAAGCGCTCGTCGACCCATTTATTCCGCCTCTCATATCCCAAAATATCGAAAGCATTTACATACTTATTGCAATATATACACAGCATATTACAGGATCAGTCCAATATTAGATAATGATGTAAAATATGGGTGGTCAATGTACGAGTTTATACTTGCCGTATCTATTTTTTTTTCAAACAACACTGAAACTAATAACACTTTGGATAATGCGATTGTTCGAACGCGGCATATTTTCGGAACAGCAGATTATGGCTAGATATTTAAAATGCACTCGCGGCGAAAGGTGAGAGATGGCTTGAGCGTGGCCTAAACGTGGCCGGTGGCGCAGACTACTGGCGAGCCGGTGCTAATCTTGCCCCCTATCCGGAGAAAATTGACAGCGCGGAGACGCGTGCGCCGCCACCGTCTCTATTTCTGTCCGCGGCCGTGTTGCCCTGATTCTACTAAAATTACTACGCGCTGCTATTTCCGCACTCAACTCAATGCGCCCGTGAAGCACCTTGCGAATTTGTTTTTCTTAGAGGTCGTCGTCTTTTATATTAAATGACTTAACTCGTTTTAGGTTTTATTTTGTAAATTATATGTTAAACAACGAAGTCACTATTTTTACTATTAAGAATAAAATATTCTCCTAATTGATATTATGTAGATAAATGATTTTTAAATAATTTATCAATAGATTTTAGCCCGATATAAGTTGCTAAACCTTTGCTCTATGTTAACCTATGATTTTATCACTTTTTAGAAAAATATATTTGAATTTTGACAATGGGTTTGTTATGCTCTTTGCATTGTCAATATTTATTGTCATAATATGTTTATTGATGATTTGATAAGAATAAATAATGGAGATATTACACAAATTTAAACAACACGGATATTTCACGGCTGAACTTTACCATTTATTGTCTAAGAAAAAATTGGTGGAGCCATTTGATGAGGTACCAAATGATAACTTATTCAATTATAAAATAATATTTTTATAAAAATGTTTAACGCGGCAACATAGCTGATGTATTTTTATTATCCATCTCAGTAATAATAGATGATATTCAAGACTTTAAGCTAGTCGCTAGATTGTAGAAATAATTTAGAGATTTATTTATAAAAAAATCATAATTGTATATATATATATATATATATATATATATATATATATATATATATATATATATATATATATATATATACACATATATAGAAGGCGTAAAATATGTTTGCAGATTACTCCATCTGAATATGAAAGGGAGATGAAGATGACAACTGCGCAGCGCTTGCAACGTTTAAACAACATTGTTATAGATAATATCGTGCACTGTGGTAACAAAACTTGCAAGATCGTTCTATCTTTCACACCTCGATTGATCGTTTTCCAGAATTTTAAGCCAAATGAAAAAATCGTGGCAAAATTCTCAGTGAAGAATATAAGCAAGGTTATTTACATTAAAATCTGCCTAATAATATGATAATCTTAGTCTCTCTAAAGTCTAAAGTCAAGAATATTTAAGTGGAATAAACTTTAAATCTACAATTTATTTTATATAGCTAAGTTTCATCACAATTGTTCAAATAGCTTAAGATTGCATATATGTTACACACAGAGAAAAGTGCGTACATTTTTATTTATTTCATATATTTTACTTTTTTATTGCTTATTGTGATTTTAAACAGAGTCCAACATATTTGAATATGGTATGTAAGGAGTCGTCTTATTTTTCTGTACAACCATCGGGAGGACAGTTGCTATCCCGCCTGGCCCCCGGGATCAGCGTCACTTTTGCAGTTACATTTAAACCTGTACAGTATGAAGATTATACGCATAGAGTCACATTTTATACTGGTATAGACCAGTATGTGGTACCATTAATTGGTGAGATGACTTGTTTTAATTCTTTTAAGCGTTAATTTAGCAAAAGTTGTAAATTTAAATAAATTAAGTTTAATTAAAAATTATAATTTAATAGAAATACGTCAGTATTTTTATGATATCATAATAATTTATAGCCATGGGACCCAGGCCCGTATTTGACATACCTGATCATGTCAGTATACCAAAGACACCATTGAAAATTGAAAGTCATGCAGTTTTAGGAATTCACAATGTAGGAATGGTACCAGCGGGTTTCACTTTGAACACAAAATGGTAAAAATTATTTAAATGAATTTCAATATTGTAATTACTTAGCTGACCTGATACACGTCGTTCTGTCCGTTTTTGATCCTTTAGTTTTATGAAGCTTATAGAAATAACTTATCATTTTTTTAATATGTTGGGACATTAACACACAGCATTAACACATAACATAGTTCCATGGTAAGCTACGAGGCTTGTGTTATGGATATCAGATAATTCATACACTACACATAAATAACTCTAAATACATACATATTATAAATATAAACACCCATGACTGGAGTACAAACATTCGTGCTCATCACATAAATGAATGCCCCCAGCGGGATTTGAACCCGCGACCGCTGGCACGGCAAGTAGGGTCACTACAAACTGAGCCAAACTTGTCGTCGTAAAAGCCGTATTTTCTTTAAAAGCCGTATTCGGACTATTATGAACATGTTTTTTAAAATGGCCAAATCGATCCAGCAGACTCTCATGTGATGCATTTACCAGCATACAGCATTTTTTTATGTAGATTAGGTATAACAATTTTTTATCACATATTAGAGAGTTAAGCTAAATCTCACAAAAGATTACTAACTTATAGTATTATTTCTTCTATATATTAGTTAAAACCTGTGTATGATTAACTAGTTCTTGCTTATAGCTCCACTTACATGGTATGAATAAATACGTCAATAAAAAGTAGCAAATATCTCAAATATAAGTAATATATATATTCGGAATTTCACTCAAATTACAGCCTGAAAAACTTTAAACACATATCAGAAGAAATGTAATATTCACAAACTTTCACATCATAAAATTATTGTTTTTACAGTCCGTTCTCTGTTCATCCAAAATCTGCTTACTTAAATCCAAAGCAAAAAATTAATATTCGCGTGGGATTTAAAACAATGCATTTAGGTGAAACTCAGGGAATTATGAATGCTGCTTTTGAAACTGGTAAGTATACATACACCGATACATATAATAAAATTGTAACAAAGCCGAATCTGTACATTAAATATTTTTTGGAAAATCTTATCGAAATAGACTTTATTATTGATACATAGGCCGAATCTATAGTTTGTAGAATTTTTGTCGCTTTGTCTGTCTGTCTGTCTGTCTGTCTATCTGTTACCGCATCACAGAATAACCACTGGAGGGATTTTGATGAAATTTGACATGGTGATAGCTGGTTATCCGGGTCAACATACAGGACTTTTTAGCGCGGGAAAATGTCTCATTTCTGAGAAAAAATGCAAAAACTGCAATATAAGAGTATACTAATATGTAAAACCTAAGAATTTGGTTTTTAGTCATCTGAATGAGCCGCGGTCATTGTGTGAAAATAATAAAGTGAAAGATTAATATTAGAAGCTGTAAAAATAAACATTTCGTATTGACATATTATTTAGGTTGTTAACTATACTTAAATAATATATTATTTTATATTTTAAGGTGAAAATTTTCGTATTAAACTGTCAGGCTCTACATATATTGTAAGTATAGAGTTGGAAAAACAAGTGGTACGATTTCTCGACACTTATAACACAATGGCGAGGCAACAGGTATTCAAAATAACAAATAAGTCCGATCACGTTCTTACGTATATGTGCTTGAAAAATAATTGTGTCTTTAAGGGTTAGTTGTTTAAAAATGAAATGATTAAATTTTTATTTACTCTCATTTTAAATACTGATTTTACCATAACTCCTAAAATCATTAATGATTTAAAATAGTTAAAATAGTTTTCTAATAAGACATTCGTGTTTTTAGTTTTATGTTTTTTTTTTTTTTCTTCACTGTAAACTTTTTGCGTCTTTATCATGCCAAGAATCCAGTCCAATCAGTTAATTCTTCATGAAGGTTAGAAAATATAATTAATTTCATAGATTTTGAGGAGAAAGTAAAATTAGCAACAATATTTTATGATTTGAAGCAAATGGAATCGGCAAAATGTAATAAATTGGTTTACTACGATGTTGTAAGCAGTGATGAGCATGAAAGAGTATATACGAGGATATTTTTTGATGAAATACAGGCGTTGGTTGCAGATGAATCATTATTGTTCCAAAATACACATATATCTGTCACACCTAATGTAAGTACTGAACTAGGCCACTCATTGGCCACTCTAGGCAAGTGTCGAGGTCCCTGTGATCGATTGGAGTTCCCTAGTTCCTACCAGTTTACCAACCGATGGTCGATATTCATTATCAATAAATATATTTATTTTGAGAAAATCAAACGATAATTACTGACTATAATACTTACTTTCTTATGAGTTTTTGTATTATTTCCTTAAGCGCGAAACGCTGAGAGCTTTTGAACAGCCATATATTAGTTTTCTTAAATATTATTACCAGTGAATATAGAGTACAGTAGAGTTGATTTTTTATCAATTTTATGTCTATTGTAGTTTAAGATGATCAAAAGATATATAAATCTAGAATTTGTTTATCTAATTTTTTTGTCGGTTTTAACAAAATAGTCCTCTGTCAGTCATAAGAGTCCTCATTATCATAATATGCCCAGGCCCTGCAATACGGCCCTGTATTGACCTGTTTATTGTGGATCTCTTCATTTAAGAACACCATAGATTTTTGACTATTACATGACATTGAAAATAAGAAAATAGCTATCTCAGCTCTTTTTTTAAAGAATTAGTAACATCCTATAAAATATACCTATATGTTTACCGGTTTCTTTCTTTCATTTGTCATTTAATGTAAATAACAAATGAAAAAAACTTAAACTGACCTTAAAAACAACTTATTGAAATTATAATTTAATTCAAAGTGTAATTTTTATTTTCCTTAATTTATAAAATGAACTTAGTATCGTTTTAAATCTTCTGCAGTGTAATTTATTGATTTATTTATTTTTAGTCAGGAAAGCTTTGGCCAAACAAAGCAACAGAACTTACTATAACATTTGCCCCAAAAGAAATAGGAGAGTTTGAGGCGACGGTCTACTTAGACGTGGACGGTGTAAGTGATCGACTTCCTTTGAAAATAGTGGGCACGTCATTACCGCCTCTCATAACTTTGAACTTGGAAACACTAGATATGGATCGTGTATATATAAATAAAACTTATCAATATGAAATAGTAGCAATGAATAAAGGTTATTTAAATAATATTAAATTATTTTAACATAAATATTTGTCCTTTATGTTAATTAATACTTAGAAAAATGGTGTAAAAAGAACATTTTAAATATACCACTATGCTTACCATTTCAGGGCATATTAATGGCGTAATAGTATACAAACACGTACCTCCCTTATTTGGGAGTATCATTAGTTGCAGTCCAGAAATACACTGTCTCAGACCAGGAGATAGAGATTCCTTTATTATATCTTTCTGCAATTCCAATCAGGGGCCGTTCTTTGAAGAAATACATTTCGCAATACGAGAGACAAATGTTCTTATAAAACTGTATCTGAAGTAAATATTTTCTATTTTATATAATTAAGGAGCGAGCGTAATTAAGCACTGCTGCCTAAATATATAGCCTAAAGTTTGCAATAGAATATTTTTGCCAAAATATTTAAAAGCTACTACAATAATTCCGGGAAAGGGAGCCGGAGGGGGTCGATAGAGACATGATGGGACACGATGGGCACGATGCCGTACAAGCTTAAATTGTTTATTGGCAGCCAGTAGGAAAATCTTATCTATGCCAATGTCGTATATTATTATACTTAAGAAAAGTTTATTTCCTTACTATCTCCCTCTTCTTGTTGTTTCTCTGTCTCTTCTAGTTATGCATTTCATTTGAAATAGCGATATTTCAGTTCATAATTATTATAATACTAGCAGAACGCGAGGCTTCGCTCGCGCTGAAACTACAAAAAAATCTCTAAAAAGGTAGTTTCATCCCTTATTTTACTTCCTTATAGGATGAATTTTAAAAAAATGCTAAAACACAATGTTTATTTCATTTTGTTGAAGAGCATTAATATCATGTTTCAAGTAATTCTGATCATAGATATTTTTTTGAATTATATTATAACGTGTTTTCCCGTGTGAATAAGATAATTTTCCACGGCGAAAAGTAGACTATGTCACTCTCCAGCCCTCCAACTATCTCCACACAAAAAATCACGTCAATCCGTCACTCCATTTCGACGTGAAAGAAGGACAAACAAATAAACACACTTTCACATTTATAATATTAGTATCGATACCATACCATGATAATTATTATGTATTTTGAATTTCAGAGGTGTTGTGGTATATCCATCACTGATGTTTAGTATACCATGTCTAGATTTCGGTATGGTTAGCGTTGGTAAGATAAGATTCATAATTTTTTACAAAATGATTTAGGTTGTTTTACAATTTTTTTTTTTTTGGATAATCAATGTTACTTTTTATTCAGGCGTCCCAAAGACTTTAGAACTAGATGTTATAAATGAATCCTTAGTGCAAGTCGATGCGAGTGTGAAGATATCATCCGACGGCCCAGAAATGCGCAGTATTACTTTAACAGACTACGCTGTGGCTGATAACCCGAAGCCGTCGGTGCCTCAGTGGCCGAGAGAGTTCAATATCGAACCTTATAAAATTAATATTGGACCAGATTCGAAGATATCTTTACAGGTAAGGTTTGTTGTCTTTTGATATTGTCTTACTTTAATATCTTTTCGGTTTTTGATTATTTTGGTTTTGGCTATAGTAATAGTGAAATTTTTATGTACTAGCAGAACCCGCGGCTTTGCTCGAGCTAAAATTACAAAAAAATATCTAAAAAGGTAGTTTTATACAAACTTTCATCCCCTGTTTTGCCCCCTTATGGGATGAATTTCGAAAGATGCTAAAACACGTATTTATTTAATTGTATTGAAGAGCATTAATACCAAGTTTCAAGTAATTCTGATCATAAATATTTTTTGGATTGTATTATATAGTGTTTTCCCGTGGAAATTAGGTAAAACGCCTGCGGTAAAAAGTACCCTATGTCACTCTCCTGCCCTCCAACTGTCTCCACACAAAAAATCACGCCAATCCGCCACTCCGTTTCGACGTGAAAGATGGACAAACAAACAAACATCTTTCACATTTATAATATTAAGTGTGGATTTCAAAATGTATGATTTGTATTTTAAGGTAACATTAACAGCAAACTTGATTAGAGCCAATCAGACGTCTTTAGAATTGGAGTTGGATAAATCAGACAGTCCGCCAATATTATTGCCAGTGACATTCAATGCAATGGTGCCTTGTATTAGTCCAGCACCAGATATCAAATTAAGAGCTTGCTTTTTGGACTTTGCGTACAAGCAAGAAATCAATATCGAGTGTAAAGATTTTTGGGGATATTTTACTTTGGAAGAACCCAAGGTACTAAATAAGTACATTCTTTATATAATATGCGAAGTATAAGTTTGAATACAAAATTAACCTACATTACAAACGAGTTATTTTGTATGCACACTTTGAAGAGCTATATTTGTTTCATTAAAACAAATAATTGTTGGTGGTACTTTATAGAGTAACATATATACATATGACATATACTTATATACATTACTAGACATTTAATAACAAAATCGGTTGACTAGCACAGGACAAAGGCTACTGAATATATATATTTATTTAGATGCTGTGTAAAAAATATTTGAAACCGTTGAGCTTGAAAATGTAGTTTTTTGTATGTTTGGTGTGAGGTATATATATATAGAGAGAGATCTGTGTTATAAATGTTAAGCTGACATTTGCTAAGCTAGCTGTTAGGTAAGACTCAATTCTAGTGTTGCCAATGACAATTAATAATATGATTCATGTATTGCTTCCGCACCAGATAACACGTTACTCATGTTTTTTTTTAAATAATGATACTTATTTTTAGAAATTTAATCATAGAGTTTATTGCGGTCTAGAAGATTACAAATACCAAATCTAGTATTTTTTCTAATGTGAGCAAGCGATTTTTATTTTCCAGACTGAGTCGACTTTGGAAGTAGATGTAGCATTGAAAGAAGGACTAATTGAACCGAATAGCACTATCACGTTACCTGTGACAATAAAGACAAGTGTTTTGGGAGTCCAGGAACATCATATACGGTAATAATTTAAAAAAGAAATACATTATATGCATACCAATTCTAAATATTTAAAATATAAATCTCAAAGATCTCAAAGATCCTGCTTACGGTTTCGCTACTGTAAACGTAAAAAAAACCGTCTCGGCACTTTTCCCGCCAGAGGTAGATAAGAAAAAATTAAAAATTGGTTGAAAAAAATAGAAATATATCTAACAGATATATTTCTATTTTTTTAATTTCGAAGCCTAAGAAAGTATGAATGTTTCTTTTATTAAAATTAACTTAAATAATTACTTTTTCACTAAAAAGGTGTACTGACTTCAAAATCATTTCTTTGGAACTACCCTTGAGGTTAAAGTCTATTCGTTTAAACAGAATCCTGAAAATCGGGTTGTAATTGGTAAAAAGAAGCACCCGATTTAAGTTTACACTTGAACCAGCTTATTTTCATTGCAGATTATATTTATTCGGTTTATCCGCACCGGTGGACGTGTGTCAAATAACAGGGTGCGGCGTGCGACCTATCGTCACCTGCAACCCTACGGCGCTGCACTGGGGACAGGTTAAACTGTTAACACGGACACAGAAAATACTAACTCTCTGCAATGATTCCCCAGTGGTCGTCAATTTTAGGGTTTCCCTGGTATTTCATACTTACTATATTTTTACTAGGATATACATTTTTGTGAAATTTTAGACCGAGAAGAAAAATATTCTAAGGTTCAGGAAGTTCAGAGTATTCATGCTTATAAGAATAATATTTGATCATTATGAGATTATTGATATAAATAAACCATATTTTATAGCTAAACCGCGACGGAAGGTGGCAAATTTCTCCCATAGAAGGTCACATAGAACCGGAAACAGAAATCGAATTACTCGTTACGTTATTTTTGATTGATGCAGATAGTTACACCAATAAAGCAGTAATACAATTAGAAAAAGTTAAGGATATTGTAAGTTATAAAGATATTTAAGCTTTAATAACTCTTTTTAATCTTGAGACTGAGCGTTTTCGAAAAAAACCTTAAATTTAGAGATAATGTTTTTATCAGTCTTCAAAATCACTTATAGATTTTTTTATTTAAAAAAAATATTTTCAAATAATCTTAATCTATATAAATAAAAATGAATGTTGGTAAGCGCATAACTCAAGAATGGCTGGATTAATTCGGCTAATTTTATTTTTCGTAGTTCCTTAAGGTCCACGGAAGGTTTTAATAAAGAGATAGAATAAAAAATTTACGAAAAAATTACTAAAATGTATATGGATAACGCTGCCTAATAACTATTTATATCTATTTAAAACGTACTTAGCGACGAACCCGAGCGAAGCGAGGTTGAGCCGCTAGTTACATGATGATTTTAAGCATAAGCTATATTTTAGTTGGTGCCACTGTCAGCTACAGGTATAGGTACAAGCATATTAGTTGGTGAGCTGAAGGATAAAGTGTTGCTTGGTCGGCATTTTACCAAAATACCTCTAAACTGCAAGGTTATTATGGAAAATTGTGGTACTCGCATGCACGCTTTAGAGTGGAGCGAGCATTATAAAGCACCGAAAACTAAACAACACACTACGTAAGTAAGCGCTAGTTTATGTATTTTCATACCGTATGAGTCAGATTTGATAAAAAATAGATGAAAATGAAATTGATAAAATCTCATTTCATTTTTAAATATAATAATACTTTTTTAGTGGATTTTTTAATATGGAACCCAGAATATTTAAAATGGCTGCGGGAGAGAAATTGGAACTCACTATAACTGGCTTGTCGTATAAAGTGGCTACTATTAAAGAAATGTGGTACTTAGTGGGAAGTGTCGAAGGCATTAATAAAAAAGAGCTGCTGTTGGAATGTCAAATTGTAGCTGAATTTGTTGATCCAAAAATTGAAGTGTCGTCTTCTATAATAGAATTTCAATATGATTTTGGACCTTATAGCGAGTTTTACAAATTAACTGGTATGTTTTAATAAGATTTTACAAAATGTCCAATTTTGTCAAAATATTTTCATTTTTCTATTTTATTATAGATCTTGTGACTATTAAAAACGTCTCCAAATTACCATTAGACTTCGAAATAAGCGTAAAACCTCCTTTTGCCATAATCCAAAAACGAAGCAGTTACAAAGTACCATCCCATGAAGAAAATCTTTGTGGCTGCGTATGTTATAACGAATCAGATTTGAATATTCCAAATATATTAAATGAAATTGGAAAACAATCTAGAATTTTCATTGATTATTTAACTTCAAAACCAGTAGACCCTTTACGAAAAGGCCCTTTACATTTTTTCCAAGATATAAATAAAATCAAATGGGCATTTAACCTTACTCACTTAGTAGAAGAAAGGTTAGAAGATCAAGAAGTAATGAAGATACAAATTTTGTTTGATACTAGTAAACATTTAACACTAAAATCTCGAGTTTATTGTGATTTGATGAGAATTAAATTTAAAGGGCACAAAAACAAAGTATGAATAAAAATATTACTAAAAACATTGTCAAATAATTTCTAATGATTTTAATCATTACAAATGATATCATGCAATTTTGTTTTTCAGGACGCAATAAAACTAATAGGTCAAGTGAATTTTCCAAATTTACTTGTTTTGACCCCAAAAGTTGATTTCCAATGTATTCCTAACGGCAGTATTGAGAGCAAAACCATTAAAATCCAGAACGTCACTCCATTGCAAGTCTGTTATAGATTTAACTGGAAGAAGTGTTTTATAATCACAAAAACCGTAACTATATTTAATAAATAGTTTAATATTTCTAAAACAATGTTTAAATTTTATGCGTTAAAAGTTGAACGTTTTGTTTTTAGGCGGACATTTTGAAATCATCAAGTAAGGTCAGTCTTTATGGTAAATCCACCACGGACACAAGCAGCAAATTTGCGGGTATTATGATAGTTTAAAATAAAAGTGTATTACATAAAAAAATAAAATCTTTCTGATCGAATTTCAATCAGGCAGTGGATGCCACTCTTATTTACTTCAACAAAAATTACTAGAACAACGAAGCAGTTAACAATTTATTGCGATATTTTGTGAATAATTTTTAAGCTGTGCCACTGTGAAAGTAAAGTCATTTGCAGCGCATTTCACAGCGGCATAGCGCATTTCATAGCATGATCAATTTAATTTATTCAGACATTTTTTCTTTTTTTTTATTGTATGAGTATTCTGTTGTCCATTACACAAGATATCATAATAGAGTAATCTGATTTTGGCCATATTTGTTAATAACTTTGTGCTCAAATTTTATTATTTTTGTAACGCTGTAAGATTACCAATAAATAAATAAATATTAATAAAACCAGGATAATATTAATAATGAAATTATCATGTTTTTATTAGATGATGAACAGCTCCATGAAATTTTAGCTTGTCGAACACCAGTGGGCTCTGTGATCGGTTTATCTGTTAATCACACTAATAAGAACCCTGTTTTACCAATCAATCAAGAACCGTTAGATCTTCACTCGATGACTAAAATCGACATTGAAAATATTGATTTGGCAGAACATAAATTTATGAAGAAAATATCACCAATGTTAGATGATGAATACGATTCAGAATTTGAATGGATACATAAATTTTCAAAGCTTTATACAAATACTGTTATTTCAATAAACGATGTTATCCAACTTATACCTCATTCGGGATTATTAAAACCAAATGAAATACAATATGTTAATGTGATTTTTAAACCAAAACCGAATATTAATGTTCGTGCTTTACTAGAATGCGAAGTTTTAGGAGGTCCGCCTGAATCTATCATAGTGACTGGTCAAAGTGCTGATTTATTATATAAAATAAATACCCACAGAGTTAATTTTAAAATACGGTCGTTTCATGAAAATGCTACGCAACAACTACGTATTTCAAACGTTTCACAATTACCTTTCGAAATTAAAACTTACTTAAATGAAATTAAATATAAAAACGACCTCTATGGAAACATTCTTGACTTAATACCTTCAGAAAAAGTTTTGGGGCCAGAAGAAGAAATAGAAATGAAGATTGAAATAAGACCTGGAGCCATGGGATATTTTCATCGAACTTTCATTTTAGAAATTGGACATTTACCCTTTTTACCCATTGAAGTTTTCGGCTGGGGTGTTATACCTCAAATTTATTTATCATTGCCAAGACCAGCAATATTTGAGGTATATTTGTTCTATAATAACTGAATTTTATTTGATAGGTACGTTTTTATTGAGCGGAACCCTACTTCTATTTCAAAAATAAAAATAGTCTATGTTACATCCTATTACATCAGCTATCTTCCAGTGAAAGTCCCATCAAAATCAGTCCAGCCGTTTCAGAGGTTCTCCGGAACAGACAGACAAACAAAATTAAAAAAAAATGTGTTTTTCATATAAGTATCCTATATAATTTCATATGCATTTAGTGAAACGCTGTTATTTTGGCATTACAAACAGACACTTCAATTGTATTTATCTGTATAGATTATTATCTCAACTATGTACTAATATTTTTTTATATTGAATTGTGGTATAGCTTGATCCATCGTTGGGCTACCAAGCAATACCTACGCTAACTTTAGAATATTTGGAAGCAGTTAAGGAAATGTTTGCTAGCGACACCTCGGAACATTTAAATACGCCGTTAATAGAAAAATGTTTTGAAGATTCGTGTTTTCAACAAGATTGGCATATATGTTCTGCTTGGGTAAATGAATACTTTTTTTTTATTATTGTAAATTGTAATATTTAAAGCAATTTTAATGTTGTTTTCATAATTAATTTAATATAGGAAATAAATTTAATTCTACAGGATGCGTACCCCTCAGTCATGGACATTGAGCTGGCTATAGAAAGAATGCTTGCAATAACATACATCTCAGTACATCCAGTAATATTAACGTCTTATATTTCTTCCTCTAAAATGGGTCCGATACCTGGTTTCATAACGATTCCCTACGTCATCGACTATGGAGTCGTCATTACTGGAAGTACGGTAAGGAGTTATCTAATAATTGCCTATTAGATTTGTAATTTTTATAGAAATAACGACTCACCCTCGCTTCGTTTGGGTTCGTCCCTAGGTACGTTTTAACGTTTAGTACATCCATACTAATATTATAAATGTGAAAGTGTGTTTGTTTGTTTGTCTTTCTTTCACGTCGAAACGGAGTGAAGGATTAGCGTTGATTTTTGGTGTGAGGAGAGCTGGAGAGTGACATTATAGGCCACTTTTTATCGCGGGAATTCATCTCATTCCCATGGGGAAACACATTAGAATATAACCCAAAAGATATTTATGATCAGAAATACTTGAAACTTGGTATTAATGCTCTTCAATATAATTAAATAAATACGTGTTATAGCATTTTTCGAAATTTATCTCATAAGGGGGTAAAATAGGACATGAAAGTTTGTATGAAACCTACCTGTTTAGAGCTTTGTAGTTTTAACGCTAGCGAAGCCGCGGGTTCTGCTAGTTTTTAATATATTATTCCGAGATAAAAAGTAACCTATGTGGTATACCAGACTATAATCTATCTTTATGCCAAATTTTATCTAGATCCGTTCAGCCGTTCTGGCGTGATTAAGTAACAAATCTCATCTTGGTAACTTTTGCAACAGACTTATAATAAAAAAAAAAAATGCATATTTCTAGATACAATGTAGTGTGGACATAATTAATTATGGTCCAATAATTTCAAAGTTGCGTATCGCAAAAGGGACTCACATTCCATCTTGGCTTGGAATTAAATTGTGTGGTAAATTAAATCCCGGAGAGAGCGGTAAACTCGAAGTAACATTCTCACCGACTTCGGTAGATTTCATTGAATTAGAACAAGATGTAGAAACTTTTTTTAATATAGAGGTAAATATATTTAATATGAATACTTATAAAATAGCTATTTATTAATATTAAATAATATTATAGTTTATAACGTTAATACAATGGATTTATGTATACAAATATAAAAAATCCTTTTTTTTTGCTAAAGGTTCCGTATGGCGTGACGATTCCTGTCCAAATAAAAGCTTTATGTGCAGTGCCATATTTAATGTCTAATGTGAAAGAAATTAATTTTGGCTCTGTTAGATGTGGTGATAAAATTGTTTCATCAATACCGTTGAAAAATGTGTAAGTAGAAAATTTCAAATCACAATAATTAATACATTTCATTTCGATATTTCAATCATTTGGACGACACGTTTGGCTCAGTTTACAGTGACCCTACTTGCTGTGCCAGCAGTCGCGGGTTCGAGTCCCGCTGGGGGCATTCATTTGTGTAATGAGCACGAATGTATGTATTCCAATCATGGATGTTTATATTTATAAATGTAGGTATTTAAAGTTATATATGTGTAGTGTATCTACTATCTGGTATCCATAACACAAGCCTCGTAGCTTACCATGGAACTAGATGGTGTTGTGTGTTAATGTCTCAACATATTTATTTATGCACTTTTCATAGAGGAAAACCAAGTTGTATTTGGTTCGTAACGCTGCGGCTAAAATCCCCTGGATCTAACGCAATGATGGTACTCGATAGTTCCGGAAAATATGAACCTGATGAAGGAGGATGGCTAAGTTTAGCTTTTAAGCCTACCATAGATGTGAGTTGATTTAAATTATCGTAATAAATGTTAAAATTTGCTATTTAGGTACTTATTTATTGTATTTTGTTTAATATTTAGATATAATTTTATGTTAATGAATATGTCTAGATGCTGTACGAAGGTCTTCTTATATTCAAATTCCATATGAATCCCAATAGAATGACAATTCCTGTTATTGGACAAGGCATTATACCTCAAGTTCATATTATTGGTCCAAAAGTAAGCTTTCCACCGACTCTACCTTGGGCTGAGACGTCAGAAATTTATTTTGGATTAACAAACCCTTGTCCGTTTCCGATTGAACTTATTATAGCTCATAGCGATAAGTAAGAGAATTGCAAGTATGTTAAATTATCTTGTTATAAATATTATTTTTTACAAAAATAAAGAATTAATGTTTTAGATTATGGAAAGAGGAGGACGAAATTTATCAATTGCTTTATAAATATTACAATAAGCCAGACGAGATGCTAGTGCCAGCTATAAAACCCGGTTCTGGAATTCCGATTGAGATATTAAACTTTCGAAATAAATTCAGAGAAAGAGTAAAAAAGTTATTATAGTTATTCCTTTAATATTATAAAATCTCAATATTTTATTCACTTATTTCATAAATGTAAATCAACTCCATAGAATCTTATTGGTCATTAACCTCCTTAGGTGCAAAGAAGAAGAATTGCAAGCAGCTAAACCTTCAACAGCGCGCGCATCGTCTACCACCAGGTTATTTATATATTTTAAATAGATAGGTACATCCTTATTTAACGTACTCATAAATATTTGTTTCCAGAAAAACAAAAAGTCCAAAAACTGCAGCCAAATCAGCCGCCGCAAAAGAAGCAGTTTCTCCAAAAGTATACAGAAGTGAAGCTGAAATTATAACAGGTAAACTTGAAAATAATGCTTTTTACAAGTGTTCATTGGGATTAGAACGGCTTTACATCTTTACGATTTTACCGAATCGGTTTTTCTATTCATTTTGCCGTATGGGAAAAAAACGTACATGGGTTCACATTAATTGTGTTTTTTATTCGGTTCGCCGTTTTAGTAAGACGTATACGGCTTGTCATATGTAAATTGTTTTGTTCATATTATTTGGTTTACCAGTTTACCGAATCGGTGGTTGTATATGGTTTTGGCGTACGGTGTGAATACAACAATATTATGCTGGCATATGCCACTGACACCGTTTCGGTGAACCCGAATGTGTAAACTCGTTATTATGGTCGTTATGTAACAAAACTCCATGTTACATACGTCTGTAGGTATAATAATAATTTTCTAGTAGAATGAAGTAAAACATTGTAAAGTAACCTGAACCTACATATCTGAGAGCACATATTTAATTTTGAAATACATGTAAAGTGAACTGGTACGAACTGGTAGTAGACTCATGACGTTCAGTAAAAAATTGTAATAATTTAATGCTGAATAAAATATTTTGATTTGATTTGATTTTGATTTGATTTGAGTGCGTAAACCCACATTTGGCTAGTGGGGTGGACTTTCACTTAATCCCCCTCTTATTAAAGAAAGGCTCGAACCCTGCTCATACTGTGAAACATTAAAATAAATGTTTTTGATAATAAAACGTATTTCAGATGTAATGAATGAAATGAGAGCAGCTAAAATAGATCCGTTACAAGAATGCCTAAAGGTATTAGACGACATTTCAACGGATAGTGATAAAAATAAACATTCAAATGGAATACTAATTTTTATGCACGGATCACCTCAGATCAGATCGGAAGGTTTACTATTAACTTTAAAAATCTTAAAACGACCGCGGAGAATGATTATTTTATTATTAAACATAAAAATTAAAGTAATATTCCGATTTTTCCAATATAATGTATAGTGTATACTATACTATTTTCATTATACCATGGTGCGGGTATTTTTTTAATTCTTAAATTGTTATTTATAAACAAATATTTAAAAAACGTATAAAAAGTAAAAAAAGTTACTTCCCTTAAAGTAACATATAGTGAACATCGGCCATCCATTGTATCAATAATGTCACGTTGTGTTACGCTGTATAACAAAGCAGTTTTTAGGGTTCCGTACCCGAAGGGTGCCAATGAAACCCTATTACTAACCTCCGCTGTTCGTCCATCCGTCCGTCCGTCTGCTAGAAGGTTGTATCTCATGAAACGTAATAGGTAGAGAGTTGAAATTATCACAGAATGTGTATTTTTATTGCCACTATAACAACAAATAATAAAAAACTAAGATGGTGAATTTCAAAAAAGTTGCCATGCAAATTTAAAAAAGTCGATAATGGTACCTACGGAACCCTTCGTGTACGAGTCCGACTCACATCTGACCGATTTTTAATACTTTAAGTGAATTTAAAAATATTGGCATACCTATTACCTATAGGTTAAATTTCTTTAATTTACCACAGTTATTAATGATTTAGTACATTACGCTCATAAAATTTAGGCTAGAGCAAAAATATTACGCGATGTTTGTAAAAGGAACGGTTAAACTAATGACATCCGCACCATGTTATATATAGTGTTCGCCGAGTGGTCGAAATTAAATCATAATAATTATTGAAAAATGTATGTAAAGAAACTAACAGTTTCCAATATTTTTTACTGATAACACTGAAACTCGTCAATAAAAAAAGCAAAAAAATCGCTTGACAAACTAATAATGTAATGAACTGTTTGCTCTTTGTCTATTTTTTACATATATATAAATTCTATTTGAAATATTCTATTAGAAAACATGTAAAATTGGGCTTTATAATTTATGGTTTATTACAAATAACGTTTTAATTATTGTTATTGTAGAAGTACAATGTCAAGAAATGGCTTATACAGTTGGAAATGCTTTGTCGATACCAACCATCAATATAGATTTATGTATAGTAGAAGCTCTATGTGTTTGTGATTGTCCGGCTAAAACCGTACTAATTCAAGCTATTAATGAAATGTACGAGCTTTCACGTAAAAATGTTAAACCAGATTCTGATGAAAACGAAGCTCAAGATGAAGGTGCATAACATTCTCCTATTAATACTATGTGTTTCTCAGAATATACGCTATAAATTTTAAAGCATATTATTGCAATTCATAAAATTAATATTTTGCAGCTATATCTGGTGAAACAGATGATAGTTTTGACGCGATATTTAAAAAGTTTGAATTCTTAGCGAATAATAAAAATCTTGGTACGCCTCGTTCTAAAGTAAGTGATAAAAAGAAGAAAAGATCCCCTAATTCTTCGATTGTGTCACATTCAGTACTTGGTGCGATGGGATCTACGAGTATGTTCCAAATGGTAAAATTATGTCGCAATTCTCCAATTTTAGACCAGGGCCGAAGCCTTCAAGAATGGTTAAAAAATTTATAAAAATTACAGTAGGATGAAACCCATTAGAAAAGGAGGGGAATATGATACAAATGAAGGGAAAAATAAATTACGGTCAATCCGAGTTCGGGAAGTGGGAGGGGGTGAGTTTTTAAGGGTAAAAAATGGTTTATCTTGATTTCCGGCAAAACTACAAGTCCTATGGAAAAAAGTTAAATGGCAAAGTTGTACGTAATAAAAAGATCCACAACTTTTGTATTTACAAAAAATTCAAATAACCAAGTTTTTGGTTTTTTATTTTTATCTTTTAAAAAAAAACTACGAAATTTGGTGAAAACTTACCGTATTATGTCCCAAATACACTGTAATTTATTTGATTTAAAATATTTATTTTTTCGCCTTATTTTAACTTAATATTAAAAAAGCACCCTAATTTTCAATCGAAAATTCTCGCGGCAAAATATTAACTTTTTCCAAAAAGTCTGGAGGCTTTTTGTTCGTTGAAATCTCTACTTTCTGATGGTCTAAAAATATATATATTACTATAGTAAATATTCTCAGAAAATGCAAAAAATGGCTAACGGTTTTTACAGCTGCTACAAAATAGCAGGTATGTAGTAAGGCCCACTTCTCGAACTCGGATTGACCGTCATTTATTTTTCCTTTCATTTTTATCATATTCCCCTCCTTTTCTAATGGGTTTCATCCTACTGTCATTTGTTTTTGTTTCAAAAATTATCGACCCTGGTCTATTTAACTTGTAGCGAATTACTGTGTAACTATGGTAAAGTCCAAAAGAAAGAAAAATGTTAACGAAAGTAGTAAGTTAATAAAGGCTATTTTTATTTTATTTTATTCATTTCATGGTAAAGTTATTTTGGCCCATTTGTTCGCTGCTTTCGCTTAAATATTCTCCGAACTTAAATACATACTCTTAAGTACCAATTTTATATCATTGGTTAAATGGTTGAAGCAATCAGCATCTAGAGAATAGGAACGGAAAAAGTATACCTTCTTCATGTAAAATACAGAATACTTATACATATGTGTGCTTTTTATGTAAAATATATTATTAATGAAATTATTAAAATTATTTACAATAATCCCTCCACGACCGCGGACACGCCGGCGTGTCAGTTAACAACAGATTTCGCAGAATTTTAATTAATTTCTTAGAAATTTACCTAGAGGTGATAAAAGCAGTGGTTGCCCAAACCCGCTTGCTAGGGAAACCAAGTGAAGCGATTTTAAATCTTCTGATATTTTCATGTGCGAGTTATTTCCAACATGATTACCACTTATCTAATGGTGAAGATAAGCATCCTGAGGAAACCTGCATATCTGAGAGAACCTAGCAATTTCGAAAGACATGCGAAGCCCATCAATTCGCACTTGGCCATCGTGGTAGACTATGGCCTGAACCGTTTGTATTGAAGAGAGGCCCGTGCCCAGCAATTGGACGTTCAAAATGGCTGAATAAATTTACGTTATAAGTTATGAGTTCTTTTGAATTCAAAATAGACTCATAATATGTTTGTTTTCTTTGCAGGACTTAATGCAAGAACTATTGACAGAATTTTTCAAGCTGCCAAAATTTGATAGAGGCTTCGTAGTGGATACGTTGACAAGTATAGTTTTAAAAAATCCATCAGTCGCTCTTACAACCCTTATTAAGTGTAAACATACGATTTGGAATATACATTTAGTCCTATGCCAATCAGATTTTAATAAATGGGCCCAAAATTATGAGGAAAAACAGCGGGAGAATGAATACGTTGATGAGTAAGCGTTCTAATATTGCGTACTGTTTAATCTGTATTTATTTTAAGGCGATTTATTGTTGTGCGCGAGTTTAAATGGTGTGTGGAAGGAATAGTTGGAAATTATATGACCAATAACTTAAGTTAACATTTAAATAAAATAATTTTATATTAATTTTTTCGTCAACAAATCACAAGGAAATATTTGTTTCTAATCAGTATACAAATAAACACTGTTTTAGAAATGTGTCCAAAGTTTATGATGAGACAGAAATAACAAAAATAATTGAGTCTTTTGATGATATGGAAGCGGAAGAGTACGAAAATGCAAGTCCTGAATTAAAATCTATATACATTAATTACGGTTTAGAAGAGAGACGAATTAAACATTTAGAACATTTTGGGTAATTATTTTAAAATAAAATATTACCGATTACGTGCAAAACTTTTGCGATATCATCTTTATATTTATATATTTTTTTCAGTTTACCTATAGGGGCTATATCTAAGGAAAAGAGTACTCGAGGTAATTAAAAATTAATGTTTTTTTTTAATTAAGGAGTTTGGAGCATTGCGTGGATATTTTATTAAAAACTTCTTTCAGATCACAGTAAATCTTTCATAGCAACAGATAAATCAGACTCTAAAAAGAAAATGAGAAAGGATGATATTAAAGGTATTACCTATATTAGAGATATATATTGATCTTTATAGATAGATTTAAAGATATAGAACTTTTTTTCTATAATGATGACCACTGTGCCATAACAAGGTAAGGGTTCGGGTAATCGCGAGTTTAATTTTCGCATGGGGTAATTTTAATTCACAATTAAGACGCAAATACATATGTTTCCTGCGTTTAGTAACAAACAAAGCGTAATGATTCATAGTCTTACCCAATATACTTTTATATTATTTTTACATATGAGTGGAATAAATAGGTCTTACATCATTTATTAGATATGTATACAAACCAAATCAACATATACTTTATTCAAATAGACTTTTACAAGGACTTTTTAATCGTAATTTTTTACATTATTAAAATTTAAATTAAATGTTAGTATGTAAGTCCGTGAGGAATCTACCACCGGCTCGGAAGTCAGCTCTGCTGCGAAGAGCCATCGAGAAACTCAACAATTGCTTTTTTTAAATAATATTTGTTTACAATATTGCAATATAATAATTATCTACTTATCCTACTTAAGACTCAGTCAGATATTAGTTCCACACATCGACAAAGTATCCCGTGATGGTATAGTAAGCTTTATTCAAAAAATATATTTTTCATTTTAGACTTAAATTGCTTAAATAACAAGAATAGTGTTTTCACGCTTATATATTCTTTAAGCAGGTGTTTTTCTACCGTGTATTTGACTGTACTATTTAATTACTTAAACATGTTACAGCAAAACCTACAAACGAATATATTATAATGAATACAAAATATAATGATTATATGAAAAACACTTATGAGAATCTTATAAATATTGCGAATAACTGGATATTGGAATTGGGTGATGTAGGAACCCCTTTGTTTGGCTTTAATGGCCATGTCCTAAGCTCGACTCAAAAGAAGACTAAGAGGAAATCAGAAATGCAAATCCAGGTTTATTTTCATACAATTTAAAATTACAAGGATTTTAGATTTTTGCATTTTTAATTATGCTCTAAGAAACGAAACAGTTTTCTAATTTTTTTTCGTTATAATGTAGGTAAAAAAAAACATAGTTTTGAATGTTGGTTGAATAATTTACCTTTTTATAATAGGTTTCAGATGTTAGTTTTTCAGAAAGAGGTTTTCCTTTGACATTCATTACGTGTCCATGTATCCGATATAAGCAAGCGCTAGTTAATATGTTTCTGAAGTCAAATTTAGTTCGAGAAGCTTTAAAAGACGAGGAAAAGTGCGACGTACTGAAATTTCCCATAAGCAAAAAAACATACACCGTATTACTTCCGAAATCTTTCCCAACAATTAATCATGAAAAGCCACTGCAATGGCGGTATTTGGAAGAATCACCGGTAGGTATATTATGAACTGTTATTATACATAGTTTGAACAGTAATAGACTTCTTAAAACACCTTAGAACTAAATGTAGGATATCCTTAAAAAAATAATTGTTTCTCTTACAATTAGTAACACCATGAGTCTAATTAAATTTCTTAGAAATCTATTGTTAAATGTAACGCCGGCATGTCCGCGGTCGTGAAGGGATTAATTAAGTTCAGATATATTTTTACATCTAATCGTTTTATATCTTTTTCTTTAGATCAAAAAATGTGCATGTAACCAACTTACTGATTTAAATTTGTTAGATGATACAACTCAAGATAATGTTTTGTACATACTATCAAAGTGGCATTGCGAATGTGGGAAAAAGGTAGTTTTATGGTTTTTATGTTTTCTATAATATATTTATATTTAAACATGGTATAGACAAAGTTATGTCTTCGTTTATCTCTAAGGTGACATCATCCCAAACATCAACCAGTGAAATACCTTCCACTTCAATAGAAAAAGTGCAAACAGAAGAAAGTGAATCAGACATCTATCCATTGCCATTAAACAGTTTGAAATCAAAGTCAGGTAAGTTCTAAATTATTTACTTTATTAACAGTTTTCTACAAAAATTTAACACTTGTCTATGTACTTGTCTACTCTTTATATAGAGTCAGCTTTATCAGTAAACGAGTTATTAAATCTTATTTAATAATTAAATATTTATTAAATAAGAATAATATTAAATATTCTTTCTCTTAAGAAGTTTCTAACATCGACATGTTGTTTGAAACCTTGTCTCTCTTTATCGTAGATACGTACATACATATACTCGTATATGTATGTACTTACGTATATGCTAAAGATTATTATATCTAATATAAAAGCTGTATGTTTTTTTTAATAAACAAATCAACAAATTGTTATAGGTAGATACGAGTATATAACGGTGTTAGTTATAAGAAACATAATATCTTTATCAATTTTATTTATTTACCTTATATTTCCATTTCATAAGTCGTATAACTTGAAGATAATTTTACCTATTTTAGATATAGATGCGCGAATAGTGTTAGAGCCAGGTGATCTACTAAGGTGTAAATATACCTTTAGTCCGCACGAAGAAGGAAATTTCAATGTAAGGAGATTTGTAGAAGTAAGCGGTTGGCCAGATTCACGAGTTGACATCGTCGTATCTGGAATATGTGATTTGCCGAGGTATTGACATAATTTTATTTATTTCAAATATATGCAATTTAAAAAATAATTTAAACGGTAGAGACTTCCCGTTACGTGTCGGGAACTAAAAATGAAAATAAATCCGTGAAAAAATCTAAAAAAATAGTTTTATTAAAACTGTCAAATATTCGCGTTTTAAGAAAGTATCAATAACTATATGCAAACCAGACGTCCCTATAATAATTTCATACCATCGAGCTGATCTGATTATGGAGTCCATATATGGATTGTGAAAATCTTAAATAAGACATTAAGTCTCCGGTAACGCACCAATTCTCGACAAGACCATGAATTACTCGTACCATGTCATACGTATATATTAGAGTTATCATATTATTAGGTTAGATAGTCGGCCGAAGAAAATGTTTGAAAACTTTGTCAGAAGAACCGTAGAAGATAAAGTATACAAAGGCACTTACTTAGACGACAAAAAGCTTTTTGAATTTGGCCCTATCTTTATTGGAAGCAACAGGTAAGTTTGGCTATTATTTAAACATTTTAATTTCTATTACATTATATCGTGATATGTAAGTATATTGATATAGTGTACTCGTAGGTATTAATACAGGAAAAAAGCGTCTCCATTTTTAGTTTTGCCCTTAGAGCTTGAAGAAATAAAAATCGACACTTACAAACTTTTGCAATTACAACATCATATAATATTCTTCATTACTTTTATGAGAAACAATACAGATATTGTATTTTAAATTAATAAGCTAACATTGAACAGTATCTATAACTGGAAGAGATTTTTTTCCAGTGAACCCATGGACATGGGAGATATAGTGTTAAATAGCGGAACAATTATGTGTCAGAAGATGTATTATAAAAATATATTGTTATATACATAAATATAAAAAATACACATATAATAATGATATATAACTTGACGACACGTTTGGCTCACTTTGTACTTGCTGTGCCAGCGCTCGCGGGTTCGAGTCCCGCTGTGGGTAGTGTTCATTCATTTGTGTGATGAGCACGAATGCTTGTACTCCAGGCATGGGTGCTTATATTTATAATATGTATGAATTAAAGTTATATATGTGTAATGTATCAACTATCAACTATTTGGTATCCATAACACAAGCCTCGTATCTTACGATGGAACTAGATTCGGCTGTGTGTTAACGTCCCAACATATTTATTTATATAAATAAATACATAGTAACGGTTGTAAGATATACATATATTTACATTAGTGAGATTCAAAGAATACCTCTTAATATTCGAGTTGATAGAAGTTCTTGATTAATAGGATGATAAAAATAGTAAAAATAAAATATTTCTAAAACGCCATAACACGTGATATTTTTTTTAATTTTAGTTTAATATGTTAATTATGTAATACAAATATTATATAGTTCGTTACAAATTGTGAAAACTTTCAGAATATACGAAGAGAAATACACAATCGATTTAAGAAATTCGTCTCTAATTACCACAGATATAGATATTGAATTTCTCGAAGATACTACGATATTTCAACTTGACAAAACTTTTATTAGATTAGAGGTGAATAATTAATAATTATAATAATAAAAATAGCTAAAAAAATTCATACTAATATTATAAATATGAAAGTGTGTTTGTTTGTTTGTCCTTCTTTCACATCGAAATAGAGTGACGGATTGGCGTGATTTTTTGTGAGGAGATGGAGGCTGAAGAGTGACATAGGCTTCTTTTTACTGCGTGAGATTATCTCAGTCCTGCGGGAAAACACAACCCAAAAAAATATTTATCATCAGAATTACTTGAACCTTGGTATTAGTGCTCTTGAATACAATTAAATACGAGTTTTAGCATTTTTCGAAATTCATCTCATAAGGAGGTAAAATAGAGGATGAAAGTTTGTATGAAAACTACCCTTTTAGAGTTTTTTGTAGTTTTAGCGCGAGCGAAGCCGCGGGTTCTGCTAGTATTTTATAAATGTATCTATGTTGTGAAATTACTGGATATAGAATAATTATAAGAAAAAAATTAAATGTTTAGAAAGTAATGATTGTGTAGTTTGACGACAAGTTTCGCTCAGTTTGTAGTGACTCTACTTGCTGTGCCAGCAGTCGCGGGTTAGAATCCCGCTGGGGACAGTCATTTGTGTGATGAGCACGAATGTTTGCACTCGAGTCATGGGTGTTTATATTTATAATATGTATGTATTTAAAGTTATATCAACTATCTGGTATCCATAATACAAGTCTCGTAGCTTACCTAACTACGAGAGTTTAACTAGATGGTGCCGTGTTAATGTCTCAACATATTTATATTTATTTATATGTGTTTTAATTCCTTTACCAGCCTGGATCTCGAGGAAAGCTAGAAGTATCAGCAGCACCCACAGAAGTCGGAGTCCACACTAGCGTCTTGTTGTTCTGTATAAAAGATAACCCTGAAATAGTTTGCCTTACCATCACCTGTAGCGGGGTCGTTCCTGCTGTTGAAATTCTTCCACTTACCAAAATGATTGGTAAACAAATGTTTTTGATCTATCTATTTCATTATTTTTTAAATTAGCATTATTTTCCTTTTCAACCCCCGACGCAAAAACGACGGGGTGTTATAGGTTTGACGTGTCTGTGTGTGTGTGTGTGGTGTGTGTGGTGGTGTATCTGGCTATGTCTGTCTGTGACATCGTAGATTCCAAACGGATAAACCGATTTTGATTTTGTTTTTTTTTGTTTGAAAGGTGAATTAGTCGGGAGTGTTCTTAGCTATGTTTGATGAAAATCGGTCCAAGATGGCCAGGACTTATTAAATGTTTAATTTAATTCTTTTAGTTATTAGTTGACGAGTACATAATATGTGCGTCTTGCGGCTTGTCTATGGCACAGAAACATTTACAGAGTGGGTGGAGTGTTTTTATTCAGATGCTTTTCATGACCTGGTTAAGATTAAAAAGCGATTTTGTTTTGATTATTCAACACGTAGTCGAGAGGCTAAAAAAATTCAGATCTGATCAACGATTTCTTTGCGAAGTATAAATGTGTGAAGAAGTAACAAAAAAAGTCTCGCGAATACATTTTATATACAATTTTATATTTAAATAATAATAAATATTATAATCCTACTAATATTATAAACGCGAAAGTTTGTAAGAATATATGTATGGATGTATGTTTGTTAGTCTTTCACGCAAAAACTACTGAATGGATGTTGATGAAACTTTACAATAATATAGCTCATACGTCAGAATAACACATAGACTACTTTTTATACCGGAAAAATGTACGGTTCCAATGGGATAGATTTGTTTTTGTTTTTCTACAGACGAACCTGAGCGAAGCGAGGGTGAGCCGCTAGTTTTAAATATCTATGTTTCTGCAAAGAATGCCTAACCCTATTATTTCATTTTTCAGAGTATGGTAAACACTTGCTGTATCGTCGCGAAGACGATAGATTTATTGTTAAAAATGATTCTATTCTCTCAATTAAATGGAAAATTCGTAATCCAGATGATTTTGTAGAGGATTTTATTATAGCTCAAACAAGTGGCGTTGTGTCTAGGAACGACAATCAGGTCGTCTCGGTGACCTACATCGCGTGCAGAGTCGGCGTCATTTCTAACAAAGCGCTCACTATCGATGTTAGTTAAATTTAACCAGTATTACACAGTAACGCTTTTATACCATTTGCTTTCATGTACTTTTGTATTTCAAAAGTATAATCTCCATAATAAACATATTATTTTTTAGATGCCCGTAGTATTAAAATTTAATTTTTACTTTGGAATTACAATTATAAATGTTTTTTTTTCGTAAATACAGTAGGTGTTACTTCTGAAAATTTTACAACAATGCCTTAAATCAAATATTTCTGTAGATATATGATGAAGAGGGTCGTGGAGATCCAATGTTGACTGAGACACTATACTTATCTGCCGAGTGCTACGATGTAATGGTGGAATGTGCTTATGAGAATCCGAGTGAGAATTTTCTTAATTACGGCAACGTTAAAGTTAATTCCACCGTCTACAGAGAAATGTATCTTCTTAACAGAGGACGATATAACGTCTACTATAAGTTAGTTAAAATTCTAAATAATTACTACTTGCTAAGCCAGCGGTCGCGGGTTCGAGTCCCGCTGGGCGCATTCGTTTGTGTGATGAGCACATATGTTGGTACTCCAGCCATGGGTGTTTATATTTATATTATGTATGTGTGGCGACAAATTATCTATTGGGCAACACTGATTGGTTGCCTATTTTAGAAATATAAGATATACTCTGTGGTTTTTACTTTGGCTTTTTCTCGCTGCAGGGACTGATAGCATATATTAATATTTGTCGTCCATAATGTGTAAAAATATTTGTGTTAACATCCAGCCATCCATTGTATTAACTAATAAATCATAAGAATTCCAAACATCCATTTTATTAACTAATAAATCAGATGAATTCCAAAATGGTGACCCCGACGTGATATGAACACGCATGCCGTATGCAACTGCTTATTGACTATTGTGCAGTGTGACAATTGGCTATACAATACAGCTACAAGTGAGCCTCAAGGTGTTGATACAATATGGCGAAATAACATATTCATTTCATTGGCTTTAAAAGTTATGCTCCAGTTTGATTAACCTATAGATCAAGCCTCATCCTAAACTGGTGACAGCTCCGTTACAATTTACATCATCAGTGCACCGAGTCGCATCTATTTTATAGTAAACTTCGCGTTATCACATGAGTGACCGCTTAGTCACGTTATCAGCATACAGACTGCCTCTGAACTCCACCGACGAGAAAGACAATTCTTCACCTTTAAAACTTTGACAATCTTGGTGAATGGTAGTGGTGAAAAATTCAGTGACAAGATTATGTGTATAGCTTATTATTATTAAGTTTTATTTTTCCTCTAACATAGTATAATAATATGATCTGTCTTTTAATCACACTTATATAACAATAGCAACTAATAGATTAAGTGTTAGCATATTAACCCACTAAATTAAGACTTAATATTATTATTATTTTTTATATGTGTTTTGCTATTATTTTGTGAATTGTTTTAACACTTTAATGTTCTTACAAGCCTTCGCTATTACCTTGTGAATTGTTTTTAACCTATTATTTTTTTTATAAGTGTTTCTTTGTTATCTTGTGAATTGTTTTTAACCAATTGCTAATAATGACTGATAGTAAAGCACCAACCCCCTCGGATGATCACATTCCTCAAGTATCACATATTGCATTAAAGCTTCCTCCATTCTGGTCTGGTCGTGTGGTTGCATGGTTTGCGCAGGCTGAGGCAAATTTTGAAATTTCAGGTATTAAAGTGGACAACACTAAATATAACCATGTACTGAGTGTTCTACCTGAGAGGGTTGCAGCAGATATTGAGGACATCCTCATCGATCCTCCAAAGGATAATAAATATATTTTTTTAAAATCTGAACTTGTTCGTAGATTATCAGCTTCAGAGGAAAAACGTGTTAATCAGCTGTTGAGTGATGTAGAGTTGGGAGAGCGTAAACCGTCGCAGTTCTTGCGCCATCTCCGCTCCCTCGCTGGATCTAGCCTACAGGACGAGTCCATCCTGCGCCAATTATGGCTGCGACGACTTCCACAGCAGGTTCAAGCCATCCTAGCTGCCCAGGCTGACCTGCCACTACAGAAGGTCGCTGAGTTAGCAGACCGCATTGTTGAGGTATCACCTACTGCCAATACTGTTTTTGCAACGAGCACACCTGCTTCAGATGACCCACTGCAGGCCATCAGTCGCCGATTAGACCAACTGGCGCAACAGGTGGCAGCGCTGAGCACTGGCCACAACCGGCATCGCAGTAGCAGGAGCTCCACACGGTCTCGTTCTAAATCCAGGGACCGAGAGGCCTCCGACTTATGTTGGTACCATCGAAGGTTTAAATTAAAGGCCAACCGCTGCACTAAGCCTTGCAGCTGGAAACCAGCGGAAAACTTGGGGGACGGTCAGTGATGGCGGCTGCTGACTGTCCATCTCAAAGTATGGTAAGTCGCCGTTTATTTGTGACGGATGTTAACAGTAAACGTCGATTTTTAATAGACACTGGCTCTGACATCTGCTGCTTCCCTAAAACAGCCATGGGTGGCAAACTTGAAGTAGCAGATTACGACCTCAAGGCCGCGAACGGCAGCTTAATTAAAACTTATGGCCTTATAAATATGAATTTAAATTTGGGACTGCGCCGAGACTTTAGATGGTCATTTGTCATCGCTGATGTCGGCACTGCAATTATCGGATCGGATTTTTTAGCGCATTACCACCTACTGCCGGATTGTACTAAGCGGCGTCTAATTGATGCTAAGACAGGTTTATCAAGCCATGGCACTATTGCCATGGTTGATCAAACTAGTGTGAGAGCCGTAATACACAATGATGGCGATTCAAATTACGCAAAGATTTTATCCGAATTTCCAGACATCATGAGGCCGCCCGGAGTACCGCACGAGGTGAAGCACGACACGGAACATCGCATCCTGACTACTGATGGCCCTCCTGTCGCTGCTCGCCCTCGCCGCCTTGCACCCCAAAAACTACAGGCTGCTCAGAGGGAATTTGCTGATATGGTGTCATCAGGTACCGCACGACCTTCGAAAAGCTCATGGTCATCACCATTACACATGGCCCCCAAAAAAGATTCATCTTGGCGCCCATGTGGTGATTACCGGGCCTTAAACGCCCGTACCGTCCCGGACCGCTATCCCGTTAGACATATAGGGGATTTCAGTCAAAGTTTGGCTGGCTCTACTGTATTCTCTACTATTGACCTTGTCAAGGCATACCAACAAATTCCTGTCCATAAAGACGATATTTGCAAAACCGCCATTATAACACCATTTGGGTTGTTTGAATTTCCCTATATGTCATTTGGGTTACGGAACGCGGGGCAAACATTTCAAAGGTTTGTCGACGGTATGCTTCGTGGTCTAGATTTTTGCTATCCCTATGTCGACGACATCCTTGTTTTTTCGAGCTCTGCATCTCAGCATGAGGAACATCTGAGAATTCTGTTTCAAAAACTAAGAGAATTTGGGATGGTCATTAATCCGTCTAAATGCGTTTTGGGAGCAAAAGAAGTTACTTTTCTTGGGTATTGCATCAATGCTCAAGGCACACGACCGCCTGAAGAGCGCATTAAGGCTCTCCTGGATTTCCCCCCGCCGAAGACAGTTCAGGCTATGCGCAGATTCCTCGGAATGATTAATTATTATAGGCGTTTCTTACCTAAAGCAGCGTCACACCAAGCTGCTCTCGTCGATGCTTTGACAAACATTAATGGTAAGGGAGCCAAGCCATTTCTTTGGACACCTGAACTTCTAGAGAAGTTCGATGCCTGCAAGAAAAGTCTGTCGCTCGCGACAATATTGGCTCATCCTAACACTACAGCTGAACTTGGTCTTTTTACAGACGCTTCCAGCACGCATGTCGGAGCAGCACTTCAGCAGAGGGTGAACAACCAGTGGGAGCCCCTCGCTTTCTTCAGCAAGAAGCTCACGCCCCGCCAGACCACCTGGCCTGCCTACTACAGGGAGCTACTAGGAGTGTACGAGGCCGTTCAGCATTTTCGGTATATATTGGAGGTGCAACACGCCACCATATATACTGATCACAAACCACTCGTGCACGCTTTCTCCCAGCGGCGTGAAAAGCTTCCCCCTGCCCAGCTGAACCAGCTCTCTTTTATATCTGAGTTTACCACAGATGTTGTGTATGTTAAAGGCACCGACAACATAGTCGCCGACGCTTTTTCACGAGTTGATGCCATATCACTGTTAACTGGCGACTGCAGAGAGCTCGCAGCAGCCCAAGAGGACGACGAAGAAGTCAAGGAACTTTTTAACGATGGCGGTTCTTCTTTAAAGCTGGAGAAGATACCCGTTCCAGGTACCGATTTGTCCATAATTTGCGACACGTCGACCGGCAAACAACGACCACTGCTACCATCCAAATTTCGCAAGAGCATTTTTGAACAGCTACATGGACTCAGTCACCCTGGCGCACGGACAACTGTACGCTTGGTGGCTGATCGTTATGTGTGGCCCTCTATTAAGAAAGACGTGCATGCCTGGGCACGTGCCTGCATCCCCTGTCAAAAATCAAAAGTGACGAGACATGTCAAAACGCCCTTGGGAAATTTTAACACTCCCACTGCAAGACTTCGCCACGTTCATGTGGACATCATCGGGCCCCTACCACCTACCATCGAAGGCTACAGCTACTGCTTAACAGCAATCGACCGATACACTCGATGGCCAGAAGTATGGCCTCTCAAAACCATAACGGCGCAAGAAGTTGCAGCTACATTCATGTCCGGATGGGTTTCTCGATTTGGTGTCCCTCTGCTTGTTACAACGGACCAAGGCAGGCAATTCGAGTCTGAACTTTTTAATCGCCTCATGAGTCTCTGCGGCATTAAGAAGACGCGCACCACTAGTTACCATCCTTGTGCCAATGGGATGGTGGAGCGATTGCATAGGCAACTTAAGGCCGCAGTAATGTGCCACGAAACCTCCTGGTTGCAAGCCCTACCGATTGTACTGCTTGGCATGCGCTCCGCGGTTAAAGAGGACCTGAATGCGTCGTGCGCTGAAATTCTGTACGGTGAGCCTCTCCGCCTTCCTGGCGAATTTCTTATTCCAGGACTATCGAGCCGAATTGAAGACCCTAGTGATTTAGTTGGTCAGCTTCGCCAACATATGTCTGACGTGCGACCAGTCCCAGCCTCGCGACATCTAGGCCACAATGGAACACCCACCTTCATGTACAAAGACCTTCCAGTTGCGACGCACATTTTCCTCCGGGATGACTCCGTCCGGCGCGCGCTTTCGCCTCCCTACACTGGCCCTTACAAGGTAATTTCACAGAACAAAAAAACCATACGTATAGCCGTCCAAGGAAGGGAGGTTGAAGTAAGTCTGGATAGGGTGAAACCGGCGTATCTAGAATGTTTCCTAGATAGAACTTTTCCTAGACTAACGAGGGCGCCTGACTCTGTCAGTACGAAGCCCACTGCTGCACCAGCTGCTACACCCCAACCCGCGCCTTCACCCTTACCAGCGGCGCCTATCAGGACCAGATCAGGACGCAGGGTCCGTTTTAAGCAAGTATTAGATTTATAGTTTTCTTACCTGCGGTTTCTTTACTCCGTAGGGGGGTGGTGTGGCGACAAATTATCTATTGGGCAACACTGATTGGTTGCCTATTTTAGAAATATAAGATATACTCTGTGGTTTTTACTTTGGCTTTTTCTCGCTGCAGGGACTGATAGCATATATTAATATTTGTCGTCCATAATGTGTAAAAATATTTGTGTTAACATCCAGCCATCCATTGTATTAACTAATAAATCATAAGAATTCCAAACATCCATTTTATTAACTAATAAATCAGATGAATTCCAAATATGTATTTAAAGTTATATATGTGTAGTGTATCAACAGCTATCTGGTATCCATAACATAAGCCTCGTAGCTTTCCATGAAACTAGATGGTACTGTGTGTTAATATCCCAAAATATTTAAATAACTTTATTACTCAGATACTTGTTCATAAAGTAAAGTAAAAGATTAATTTCCAACTTAAGAATGTTTGTATTAATTTCATTTATTATTAAATTATCCTTATAATAAATTAATGTGTAATAGTGATTTTATAACCATTATAGGTTGAAGAAAGTGAAAAATTTTCCTGAACCATCGTTGTTACGCTCATTTGAGGCTATACCCGATTATGGTATAATACCACCCTCTATAAAACTTGTTACAATTGAGTTCGTGTGTACTCCTACTACATCTATGAACTTGGTGAACGTCCCAGCATATATTTGCTCCTTGTTAGATGGTAGCAAAAACCAAGTGGTCGTGGCAAAATTTCCAGTTTGTGTTACTATTGCATCTTTTTACAATACGTGAGTTGTAGTTTTTATTATTATGTATAGGTAAATACGAGACATATAGATATTCGTTTCTCTTTTTTATAAAAATTTATTATATGAAATTTAAATTATGTAATTTAAATGTTTAATAATATTCAGTTTCACACTGTTCCCTCTCGGCGAATTGAATTTTCATATAATTCCTGTCGGAAGTGGCGTCGTAAGAGACGTCATATTGAACAACACAAGCAAATGTCCTGTGACTTTTGAAATAGTTCTTCCACTTAAATATCGACCAGATCCAGAAGATGCTCAACCACAAGCAAAAATCAAAGATAACAAGTATGTACCTATTATATAAAATTAAAAAAAAAATGTGTTGAAACATGGGAAATTATAATTTTCTTATAATATTTTTAATAGATTGAAGAATCCACCGTTAAAATGTGGTAATTTCCTTATAATGAACGACGACAACTTACTCGCACCGGGAACGAGTAGAACTATTAAGATTCAGTTTATGGCAACAGCGGCGGCGACGTTTGAGGAGACAATCAATTTCATCGTCAGTGACACTTGTCCTGCAGAAAGCCAAGGGGTGCCACTTAAACTGGTCGGTACGGGAGCTATGCCGACTTTAGATTTTTGGAATCTTGAAACCACATTCCGGGAACATTTGATTGTGAAAAATCTTCATGAATATAAAGTCCCAGAGGTTCTTAAATTTTTTTGCTATCTATGATTCTACTAGTATTATTGTGCATATAAACACGTATTATTATTTTATTAATAAAATATAGCTGCTTTTTATTTTTAACACTTATATGTAAACTAACGACTCATCCTCGCCTAACTCGGCTTCGTCTCTATATACGTTTTAACGGCTAGTACGGAATAGATAGACTATATATTATAAGTATATATAGCTATGATATGATAAGTTCTTGTGGATTGTTTTATAACGTGCCTTCCCGTGGGAATGAGATAATATCCCGCGGTAAAAAGTAACCTATGTCACTCTCCAGCCCTCCAACTATCTCCACACAAAAATCACAGACATCTGTCACTCTGTTTCGATGTGAAAGCAGGACAAACAAACAAATACACATACACATTTATAATATTAAATATGGATTAACTAATCCATATAAAAGTACCAGTAACTACTGGTACTTTTAAACTATTTCGACCATAAAGTTCTTAAATATATTATCTTTTTTAGTCATTTGCGCATTGCGTATTCGTTGAAGACTCTGTCACGCTGCATTTCTTTTGCGTCACTGTGAATTCGAAATATGTGGGTATCATAGATCTTTACAACAGCGGATTAGTTGCGTGCGCACTTACTATGAAGCTACACTATCAGTCTAATTCAAACCAAGACATATTCTCATTGGACAAGTACCAAACGCACATAGAGCCACTTTTACATAAAAATTTGGGCATCATATTCACTCCGAAAGCTCTGGAGGTAAAATTTATCTGACTTTCAATAGTTACTGAATTTTGTGAAAGAAGATGTTATCGTATACTATAGTTTTTGATTAATACAAGTGCGTGTTCTAAATAAATATTATTGTGTGTATTTCAGGAGTATCGGGCAGTTTTAGAGATACGATTAAAATTACTACAAAATCAGGAGCAATCATTTAAAATTTGCCTCATTGGTGAAGGGGTAATACCGAGGATATGTTTAATCTCACCAGTTCTGAGGCACCATAGAATAGCTGTTCTACACTTCCCTGTTACTTGCTTAGGGTCGATTTCATACAAACAGCTAAGTTTCAAGAACGTTAGTTCAGTACAGGCTTTAGTGTTGGTGGATGTTTTATATCCATCGAGTGAGCCAAGGCCTGTGTTTTGGGTTACTTCTACGCAAGACAGTGATCATATGATCCTAGCTGGCAACAATGGTATAAAAAGTTTACTAACTACACATATATATTATTATAGTTATGGAATTTTCAAAATTGTATTTAATTTTAAGATGAAATGAATTTATGCATGAAACTGCTGTTAAAACCTGAAGAAATAGCACACTTGTACATTCATTTCAATCCTATAAAGAAAGGGAGAACATCTTGTGATGTAAAGATAACGATTTTTGAGAACCCTTACGAATATTTTACGGTAAGAAAAGTGTTAGGTAGTGCTCGATCTTTAAAGTTTTTAAATATAAACTTTTCGTGGTGTCTTGGCAGGTATTATGTGAGGCGGAAGCGTTTATGGAAGATGTCATATTAATTGGCTTGGAAATGCTCTCAATGGACATCGACTTAGATGCTTACAAAGCATCTGCGGAAGGGTATTCATTCAATAATTATAGAAATAAGTGTTTGAATTAACAATTACGCTTGTAATTCTTTTTTTATAATTAGGACTCTGTCAACTGTATCAACTGTGGATAGCAGGAAGAAAAGCAGAAGCGCGCCCATTGATAAGAAAAAATCAAAGCAATTAGAGAAAAGAAGTAAGAGAATGTCTCAAGCGTCGATCAAAGCGAGTGATACTGCTACAACCATTGAACACTCAGTTCTGAAATATATATTGAATTTTGGTATGATATTTTTTTGTTATCTGAAAGCAAACAATTTAAAACTAAATTTTAATAATTAAAGGCTAGAATTTAAGGTGAAATTTATTTGATGGCAGATGAAACAATAAGTTTTATGAAACTTTGGCGTAAAAATGGAGTTTTGATAAAACTTCTATCCCCTAGTCTGCAGCAAACCTTAAAAATAAACGATTTTTTTTATTAAATAAAATCTATCCTAAATACTTAATTACACTCGAGTATAAAATAGTTTTGTTTGCATTTAAATGCATCAACAGACTGACAGAAAAAACAACTTTTTTAGATAATAATTAATAATGTTCATAGCAAATGAAGAGACATTTGTAAGTGTAAAAATACATTTAATTCAAAAATAATCTTAATTCATTATTATCATAAGGTGGCTGCGAATTATGTGTGATGCACAGACGTTCAGTTATTATGGTGAACAATTCGGAAAGAGTATATAAGTTTAAATGGAACAATGTAGAGCACATCCTCGTGAAGCCGTCCATGGGCTATATATCACCTGGTGAAGAAAAAGATATAGAGATCATTTTCTTCTGTGCACAACCTGTAGTGATAAAAAAGGTATTTGTAATTCTTGATTATATTGATTATAATCGTTATGACTAAATAAGTTTAAGTTTATTTAGTTATTTTTTAATTACTAGCGTGTCTTTCTGAAATGTTGTAATATCATAGCATACTTTTTAAGTGTTCTCTAGGAAAAAAAATAGGAAAAAAGTAAGTTAATACATAAATAGAGTAAGGTGGCCGATAACGGATGTAGACGTGCAATGTAAATAAATGAATTCTGCTACGTTAATTTCTGAGAATAAATAGATAATAAAGAAATATAGCATTTTTTTTATCCAGATACAACAATATTAAATATTTGATATGATCATCCACATTCTTAAATAATTCCAAATATCTTGAAAAATTATTAATCTCAAGGAAATTTGTATGCTATTAATTTGTAATTTAGACCAGTCAAATTAGGATTTGGCATTGGAAAAAATTTTATCGGAAATATTCTGTGTGTTGTTGTCACTGGCAGTCTAAATTTAAGGGTTGATTTTTGTTTACTGATTAACTCGTTTATTTTCAATTTTACACAAAAAATAGTTATTACAAAATTTGTTTGAAATTAAATTTCCTACAATGGTTTGCATTTAGAGTGCCAGTGATTCCCCCTTCTCCCCCCAAAGAATTCCGAAGGAAAATTTCAATTAACAATTTTTGCATTGTTGCCCCTTTTTTGAGCTACTTCGACTGGGTTAATTATTTAGCTATTGCTTGGCAGAATATATAAACTTATATGTGTTTACTGCTATAGGAATTCCTAAATATTACATTGATGGCAATAAGTGATGATTACTTCACGCTAGACGTCAGGGCAACGACGTGGGACAATCGACAAACTATTACCGCTTTTGAACATAACACGTATGCGTTTCTTTGTTTTTTTAGTAAAGCTATTTCTTTTCCCCTAGTGTTTTTTCACAGCTCTGCGCATATGGTAGAAATATCGATAAAAAGCTTATACGCTATCCCCTAGGATATGAGCTATCTTCATTCCAAACTTTTCAGACCACACTCATTGGCAAATTACAAATATTTGCATTCATTTTATTTAAAAAAAAGTATCGTTATATAAAGTCCATTTACAATAATGGTATAAAATAATAAAAAAAACTTTTTAACATATTTTTTAATTCATATTTATATACTCGTAGAGAAGCTGATCTCAATGAAAGATTTGAAGCGGTACTAAATGAACAAGCAAACCACAATCCTGAAGTGTTGTCAGATGTAATCAACATGGTAGTTGTGTATTCCGCTACTACAGAGTATACCAAATATGTATGCGATTTGGACGGTGAAATGAATTTGGAGGATACTTTTATTTATCAGGTAAATATTTTAAAAAATAAATTTTATATTGCATAGTTTCAATTATATATTAAAAACGTGTGTGTGTGTACTTATGTACGTACGCACGTAAGAAGTTATACTTCTTTGGCGTAACAGAACAAAAATAGCTACAGATTTCATCCCTTATGTTACAAGTCTTTGTTTGTAAAAGGAATACAGCTAACTTCATCATGTCGCTTTTTGGCTGTCGGTGTGTCATATTTTTTTCCAAACTTGCCAAAAGTAGTAACTTCAAAAAATATGTTTTTTTAGCTTATATTTATTGCTACCTTTTGCCTGTGGCTCCGCTTATGCTATTATTTTATAACATTAGTTGCGACACTCCTAAGTTCAAATCATCGCGTGATATTAGATATCGTATGCACTGCTCATACTCATTAAAAAAAATAAACGCAAATATACTTTTATCCAACAAATTAAAACAAGCTTTAATAAAAAAAAATAGATATGTTAATTTTTATTAAATGTTTTTTTTTCTAAATATATTTTATTAATAACTGAAGTAATTATGTTAATCATTGTTTTAGATACGCAATTTTAAATTCCAAGTAGAAAATATGGGTAAAGTTCCAATAAAAATATTGTGGAATTTTGTAATAGACGACGAGTTTCCAGTTAGGATCGATAAATACTCTGGCAGCGAAGTTAGTATTTATGTTTGTTTTCATAATAATTAAATAATTATTATTTTACAAACAATCATTTTGTAAGCGAATTTTCTTGCAGGAAAATATCGAGGAAAATGAAAAGACTCCTCACGAGGAGCAAGTGCTTGTAGAGCAAGCGGATGAAAATGGTATTGTTATTTTTTAACATTATACCGACTTATTTCTATACCTTAACTAATATTTTTATTAAAATGTAATTTAAAATAAGCCAATTTAAAGAACCAAACCGATAAAATAAAAATTACAAATTTTATACATATACATACTTTTAGACCCAAGCAAGTTAACTCTATTCAGCGGAAGTTCGTCCAGGGACAGTGTGGACACGTGGTTCGAGAATGATCTGCCCTTCGTTATAGAGCCAGCGAAGGATTGCATAAAGCCTAATGAAAGCAAAGAGTTTAAAGTTACTTTTGCACCATTAGAGGCTTTCATTTTTAATGTCAAATTAAAAAGTACTATAGGTAAGTAATATTTAGGATAACAAAAATGATTTATATCTTCCAAAGACTGTTTAAAATCTGCTTCTTAATTTTTTATATAAATAAATAATCAATATTTATTGTAACTCTATTTTTGAACAAGTAATATTTTGTTGAATTGTTTTTGTTCTGAAGTTGTAATAAATGAGCATTAAATATGCTAATATTACTTACTATATATGATGATGATGTTCTCCTGACCGATTCCGGCCACGGCGGCCAATCTCATTGAGACTAGCCAACTGCGCAGGAGATATTATAGTGCACAAGTTTACGCGCAGACACAAGTGCACTCTCTATTCCTGTCACTCTCATACTCCGGTGGGACGACTGCTCGACACGACCAGTGAGAGTGTCGGCGCAGGACCGATGGCTTTACGTGCTCTCCGAGGCACGGGGGTGAAACACCGCCAACTTCCCAACTCCGGGCTGTTACTGAGACTTTACTATATATACTTATTATACTTCAAAATATTCCATTCACTTACCTAATATTTTTTTATGACACAATTTAATAATAACTAAAAAAAAATATCCTTACATATGCTGTAGGTACGAAGCAAGCAAAGCCATATAATGTACAATATTTATTGGAGTTATTTTAAATATTTTATATATTGTAGATAATTTAGATCCGTACGATCAAAACATATCGTGTAAAATAAGGGCTAAATCGCTGGTGCCGTACGTGCATCTTGACATCGAGGAAAGTGATTATTTGACGTCGGGTCGAAGGAAAGTGACGGGAGTCGCGCTCCCCGCTCACACTACTGTGCTAGAGTTTAATGTTCTTGGATCAGGATGCTATAAAAAGTAAGCTAAATATTACATATTTTCCTAATTATAAGTAAAAGATACTAATAATGCACTTAATACTTTCTTACTTTTACGCGGATATTTGACATTTTAAATAAAACTATCTTTTCGGATTATTTCACGAGTTTATTTTGATTTTTGGTTCCCGACGTTTACGGCAATCATAGTCGCGGCCCACGGGAGACTAAGGTTTGAGACGTCTCAAAGGCGTTAAAAGACGAAATAATTGGAAAGATAGTTTTATTTAAAATAATGAACTTCTCAGAGATGGTATTTGGTATTAAAAATTTCAAGCGAATTATTGAATCACCGTACCCAATACATTATATTAAATTATTATATAAGTTACTTGTTTAACTGTCGTATTCATCTCGAAATTTCTGTTTTAAATATTATTACCCCTTTAAAAATAGGTAGGTACTATGTGATTTAATCATATAGTATAAAACTTTTGACATATCTTCTTACCTATGCAGTTATCTATCTCTATGCGAATAGCTACAAAATATATTTTTAACTTTTTTAAATTTACTTTTTATTTTTTCGATTCACTTCCTATTTTTTATATATACAATAATTTAGTGCCTAATTTATTTTTGATAACAAGGGCTTTCAACGTTATCAATCCAACAAGTGTAGGTTATGAATTTATATTCGAAATGATTATGTCTGACAAACCCGAGTTAGTGCCGATGCATTGTGATATGCTAAAGGGCTTCGTCGAAGGAGGCACGAGTACTGAAGTTGTGTTTACATTTGCTCCAACTGCACCCGGCGTGAGTTTACGTTACATATAAATTGTTATTTTTAAATAGAAAGAATGTTTATGTATTCTCAGAAATTTTCATTTAAGAATCTCTCTAACGTTGAAAATTATTTGAAGTTACAAAACATAAAATTCTTTAAGAGTTAGTAAAAATATAATTGTCACTACATAGATTTTTATTTATGTACGAGTGCATTTTATTCAGTGCATCAATTCTCTATTGTTTTTAACTCTTTATCTGTGCAGAGAATGGTCTAACTTTAAAATATAATTATAATTCGTTTTAATCAGTCGAGGTCATTTAAGAATTCAGTTCGAACAGCCTGTTTTACTCATGGATTTTAATAAAAATATATACGGACAAAATCTCAAGAAAAAATTAGTATAAAAAAATTACAATATCGCAAACTTGGCGTACTTCTGCTTGTATTAATTTTAGTAAACCCTACATAAAAAAAAACATTTTTATGTTTGGTTTGTTTATTTAGTCTTCTTTTCCTATATATGATTACTATTTCCTATTGTGTACTTAATAAAATATGCTTTCAATACTGATCTTTATATTTTTACAGATCTACGAATCACAATGGAAATTTATCATACCAGTCTATTCACTGGTTATGAATTTGTTAGTGGTAGGAATAGTGCGGGAGCCAGAAGTAGTATTCATACCGACTATTTTGATAATAAGAAATTCCTTAGTCGGCTTCACTTCTACTAACGAAGTTATTTTGAAAAATAATGAAACTGAAAGTTTAAATTTTGAATTCAAAGGGAATTCTCTTTGCAATGAATCGGGAAGGACCCCAGTTATCGTAGAGCCCGAGTGTGGCGTTCTTAGACCTCGGTCCGAAACATCTATAAAGTTAGTATGATAAATAATTTAAAGACTAAAATATAAACTTCAATCAATCCACCAGCCTATCGATGTCCATTGCTGAACAAAGGTCTCCCCCAATGAGCGCCAACCACGTCGATCCTGGGCAGCCCACATTTATCCACAGCCCGCATTCTTTCTTAATATAAAATTATATACATATATATTCATAGTTCAACTATAAAAAATATTAATTAAAAATATATGTTTTAGAATAATTTACACGCCAATTCAAGATGGTCCGTTGTCCTTTAAGATATTCTGTAGTGTGACATACTTAACGAAATTAATCACTTTATGTGTGAACGCATTGAGCTACTCGATTAAACCAAAAATTACTTATTATTTGATTGGAAACGAACATATTTTGTGCAGCGATGCTATTACGAATATTCACTTGGATCAGGTAAGTTAAGCACTTGTGACAGATATATATTGAATATTTTTGTTTCGAAGAAATTTAAAGACACACAGAGGCCATATTAATATTAAATATTATGATATTCATTATATATGAATATTAGACTACTTAAAAAGCTACTATCACATAGTTGATACTCTGGCTATACTTGCAAAGTTTAGTTTAAAATCTGTTTTTAACTATTTATTCTTTATCATACAAATAACTTTGGGACCACTAATAATCGCTGAACATACATGAGTATATACTGTATAAATAACAAAATATGCATATTTATTTCCTAAGTTTTTCCGAACGGTCATACGTGACGTTGCGTCGAGATAGTTTACTAAATATGAATATTATAACAGACAGCATCTACATACGAAAGAACAATACCATTCACGATAAAAAACGATGGTTCAGCAACATTTTTTTTCGACTGGCACTACAATACAAGCGCTGTTAAGAAATATCTGCAGCTCTACGTAGAGCCGAGCGGCGGTCACGTGTCGCCCGCGTGCGAAGTGGAATGTACCCTTCATTTCACGTTGAAGAAAGTTCCCGTGCAAGCCTTCCCTGTTACTTTATCTGTATGCGTTGCTTTTATATAATAAAATAATATATATATACATAATGCTATACATATAATAAAATTGTAACTGAGCCTAATCTGTACATTAAATATGTTTTGGAAAACCTTATTGAAATAGACATTATTATCGATACAGAGGCCAAATCTATAGTTTTTAGAATTTTTGTCTGTCTGTCGACTTCAATTTTATTAATAGTAGGTATCTATTTAAAATTTTATTGCATCTAGTAGCAGTAAGACATAAAAAGAAATTGTGTTTATTATAATACAATAAAAATATCCATTAGAATTAAGAATATAATCACCAATATAGATTTCTGATGGTCCTGAGTACACCATACAACTCCACGCTGAAATAGAAAAACCACTATATCATTTTTCATGCACGGAATATGACTTCGGAAGATGTATAGTGAACGCTCCCGACTCTACCTACAAGAAAAATATTGCTTTTGAAAATGATGATAAAGTTCCAATAAAGTATGTTTGAATGTTAATTACGTTTTAATAATAGTACCTAATTACTTACGTCGAAATATCTCAAAAATTTCCAGGAATCAAATTTTTTAAGTGGACTAGAGAAGATAAATAATAAACTTAAAACTTTTATTGACTTATTATGAATCAAAAATTATATTTATAAGTTGTTTTCTAGAATTGACTAATATGTACTTCATTTTTAGCTTGGATTTAAACTTTTCTAATATGCCGGAGCTTTTTGTGAGCTACAACCAAGAAAACTTTATTGAACCCAACAGACGGCTAAAGATAGCTATATACTTCCGCCCAAAACAAGTAAAAGAATACGAATTTAAACTCCAATTTTGGGTAAATTCACTTTGCGAAGAAATTGTCACCATTAGAGGAGAAGGTATTGTCAAATTATACGATTTAATACTTTCTTATTTAAATAAAACTATCTTTCGGATTCTTCGCGGATTTATTTTGATTTTTGGTTCCCGACGTTTCGAATGCTTTACAGCAATCATGATCACGGTTACTGTGTGTTTTATTTATACGATTTTTATATTTAGGTTATTTATTATAAAAATATTTTATAAAAACATTATGGTTAACCTTAAGAAATAGAAAGTGAAAAAAGTGTATACATACAGTATAAAAATAATGAAACATAATTCTTTTTAATACAACGGCTACGTAAATCTTTGTAGGTATTCCCCTCCTGTTTGATTTATATGAAGGTTGCCAAAAAAGTTTTGATCTCGGGCCTGTTAAGGTGGGAGAGAAAATTGTTCGCCAAATAGAAGTGATGAACCACAGCAAAGTGCCTATAGATGCTAGTTTCATATTCCGAGTGATGTACCAAAACGTAGAAGATAATAATAATTCTGAAGGGACCAGTGTTTGTCTGAGCCCAAGTGCTACCAATCTTCGAGTGTCGGAGATTGGCCCGTCGAGGTAAGAATCTTTAGAATCAATAATAATATCAATGAACTATTCCTAATTAATTCATAAATCTTATCGTATAGATTATTTTTTCGATACTGAAAGTATTCATTTTATGAATAGTACATATTATATAATACATACATATATAATCTAAAAAAATTTTACTTTTATCCTTCAATTTCTTTAGAGGCGAAATGCTTCAGAAATATAAAACAGATAAAATACAAGAACAAATTGCAAAGGATTCTGAAAACGCTCTATCGTCTTTAAAGGCGGTACCGAGTAAATGTACCATCAAACCTTACATGAAGGTTCCTCTGAAAATACAATTTAAGCCTATTGGTATGATTAGCAATTTAGACGTGCAGGTAATAAAAGTTCTATAATATTTTTTTCAAAAAGTTAAGTATTTATAAAAATACCCGTGATGCAGTTTTAGCCAAAACATTTTTAAACCAAACATTTCTACAACTTTTATCGCTTTCACTGGATGTCCAAAGCCATTTAACCTTTAATCAAGTTCCGTACAATATCAATATACCTAAATGGAACTGCAATTTTACACTTTATAGTCAATTAATATTCTTTGGTTTACTATTATTTCATTTCTCATTATTAGGGTTCCGTACCCGAATTGTGCCAAGGGAACTCTAGTACTAAGCCTCCGCTGTCTGTCCGTCTGTTATAGGGCTGTATCTCATGAACCGTAATAGGTTGAAATTTATACAGAGTACCTATGTATTTCAGACAACAAATATTAAAAATAAATAAAAATACTAAAAACATTTTTTTTTAACATTTTAATCGATCATCGAAGTTAATATACTACATACATAGAGTATAAGTCATATTTTTTTTCTTTATGGCTTAGAGATGCGTTAAAACTATTAATAAAAAGTACACGTACTATGGTACGGAACCCTTTGTGTGCGAATTCGATTCATACTTGATCGATTTTTTATTAAATTAATAATGATTATTCTCAGTTAAATATGAAAGTGTTTCAATTCGAGCGTCCCCTTGTCCGCCTCAGCGGCAGTGCCACCGGCATGCACCTGCACTTCTCTCAGAACTCTTTGCAGTTCGGACGAGTGCGGAAGCGTGGTTGTAAAATATTAAAAGTAATGCTCTATAACAAAGGTGACTTCGGTGCTAGGTATATATTGTTTAGATTTTGTGTATTTTTAATTGTAGAAGTTAAATATTTTACTATAATCTATAATATAAAAAAGAATCGCTGAATGTGTTGGTAAGTGCAAATCTTGAGAGCAGCTAAAGAGATTTCGCTAATTCTTTTTTTAGTATATTCCTTGAAGTACGAGGATGGTTCTTACGGAGAGAAAAATTTAAAAAATTGTCTTAAAAAGTCTAAAAACAACAATTTTCTATACTCCCATACAAAAGATTCGTAATAATACTTAAAAGTCAATTTGAACTTTAATACCATACCATAAATTTTAAGTGTTAGTGGAGAGGTTCCGGGAAGGAAAAACAATTGAGTGACGTTAATATCGTATAAATATTAATGTCAATATTTGTCAATATTATTAACAAAAAAAAAATTAAAATTTATATGGCTAACGCTGGCTAATAACTATTTATATCTATTTAAAACGTACCTAGCGACAAAACCTGAGTGAAGCGAGGGTGAGCCGCTAGTAAGTTTTATATTTCTTGTGGGTCATACGTATATCTCCTCGTAAATAAACTTAGGTAAAACAATTTATATGCCAAAATTAGAAATTCAAAAAAAGTCTGTCAGAATATGAATAAGTATTAAATTCATTTTGTTAAGTGAAATGGCAATATTTAACATCTTTTATCTGAATAATTCAAGTAACATTAAGAATCTTCACCAATCAGGTTTTGGTGGCAACCGTTGGTTTCGGGTGAGTTTGCAATATCGCCAATGCAGGGCGCTATCGCCGCCCATACTAATGTCACCTTCACTGTAACATTCCGACCGGCCAATCATAACCCTTTCGTAAAAGTGTGGGTGAGTTAGTCAAATGGTTTACAAAACTTAATTCATGTAAATATTACACGCTATTATGTGTAAATAATTATTTAGCATCTTTTAAAGATTTAGTGCTGCCTACAGATTCCTCCCGCGATGTTTTCTTTTAATGTTTTAGTAAGTGGTAAGCATGTTGAAAATGATTTGCTTGAATGAAAAAGATGAATGCCCCGAAATTGAACCCACTTCATTTAATTTTTTAAGCGAACGCGTTACCAATAAGCTACAAATACTACATAATATATACTTGCGAATTGCGATAGATACTTTAACATTTATGTGGGAAAGGATCGTACTCTATATACTAAATTCGTTTTAATTTTCATTTATATTATTTTTGAGATACCGAATAAAGATTATTATTATTATTATTTATAATTATTAAAAATATAAATATTATTGTAAAAATAGTATACGTAATAAGTTAAGAAAATTTTATAGGCATGCTGCAATATAGAGAACTACACTCCTCTAGAGTTAGCGCTATACGCCACGTGTATCGACACCGGCAATGTTCAAATAAAAACATTATACTTTGAATGTCCTGTCAGAGAAATCAATACACAATACGTTGTTGTAACTAATCCGTGAGTATAATATTATATACATACATAATACATTTAATACATATCTATCTATACATGTAATAAAATTGTAACTAAGCCGAATTTGTACATTAAATATATTTTGGAAAATCCTATTGAAATAGACTTTATTATGAATTCAGAATCTATAGTTTTTAGAATTTTTGTCAGTCTGTGCGGTAACAGACAGACGTCTGCATCACTGAAAAACCACTGAAGGGATTTTCATGAAATTTGGTACTATGATAGCTGGTTATCCGGGTCAACATATTATAGGATATCTAATCTAATTTCTGAGAAATCTATATTAAACGTTAAAAGGAAACGTTAAAACGAGGGTGAATCGCTAGTATGTATATAAATTGCAATATTTTTTTAATTTCGTGATTGAGTAACAAACATCCATTTAAATTTTCGCATTTACAATGTTTATGGGATAATTTTATTTAGTTAACTATAAAGTATAAATAGAATTATTGAATAAATATATTAAATAGTATCTTTTATTATATGCAGTTCGGATGACTTGTGGCTTATTTTATCGGAAGTATCCGGTGGACCTTTCGAGACGTTGAAAGAATTCCATGTACAACCAAATTCTACTTTTGATATTCCAGTATATTTTAAACCCAAAACTATTGGAAAACATGAGGTTTGTTTAGTTTAGAATATATTAGATTTAAAACTCTATTAGGTAGCAGTTTGGAAAAAACATTCCTCACAATAATAATTAAATTTAGATTATTTGTAAAATAATTAGAAAAAAGTACCTAAATAAGACTGGTTTTCTGAGTGGTCTTCATTATTGCTACAACAACGTTTAATATCTGTGTAAATTTTACAAAGGCATATACCATGTAATATGTGTTATTTAAGGACAAATTGAGCATACTGCGAGTGGTGACACTAAGTACTAAGTAGACAATAGTAAGGCGTTATATATGTAGGTAACCTTAAAACAGGAAAAAAAATCTGATATATGCACAGAATCGAGTTGTTGGTGCTAAATAAATATTATTCGTAAACTATTTACAATATTACTTTTATAGAGTCAAGTACTTTACTCCCCTCTCGGTGAAAGCGCACTGTTCGTAACATTAGTGGGTAACTCGATACACCCCAACCCCAACGGCACCATCACCATCACAGTATCGGCAAAAGAACTTTATACGAAGGAACTATTGGTTTACAATATTACTGAGGTTTATATTTTGTTTGTTTTATAGCTTAAGATTTTGAATATTTAAAGTATGTAAAACAACTAGCGACTCTCCCTCGTTTCGCTCGGGTTCGTCCCTAGCTTGATTTCCCATACAATTTTGATACCCATGTTCACCCCCTTAAGGGATGATATCCGGTATAAAAAGTATCGTATGTCCTTCCTAGGGTCCCAAACTATTTTCTTACCAAATTTCATCTAAATCAGTTCAGTAGATCCAGAGATTACCCCGTCAAATATTTAACAAAAATGGATGCACTGTAACATTATTCTTTAAGATTACACAAATTACTATTGAAGCAATGTAAGATATCGTTTTTAAGTACATAATATTTAGTTCCCAGAATCGTACGTGGTATCCACAGAGATAGTAAAAATAGTGCCGGACAAATTCGAGGGTTACTATGAGATAAAGCATCCGGAAACCATTAAAGTATGGGGAGAGGCGGCACCTACTTGTCGATGGTCTTTTGTGTGCTACGAGGAGTGTGAAATATATGCAAAAGTATGTAAAATTCATTCATTTTTTTTAAATATTTATTGACTTTACAAGAAACAATAATTAATCTTCCGCAAGCGCGCCCTTCGAAATAAACCGCCCTTCGAAATAAACCGCTATAAAATCCTCACACTTGCTTAAGGGGTCCCATAGTATAAAACTCAGTTTATGCGTTGATTCGCTCATCTGATTAAAAAAAGCTTTGTTTATAATTCTATATTTTAATACTTATACCCAATTGTTTTTATTGATTATATCATAAAAAATCTAAATAATGAAAGCAATGGAATAAAATTATTTTAACATTTTTATCTGCCCAACCATTTTCTTGTTCATGATAACTTTTCGGAGTAATAGGGCGGTAGTGATGATTGGAAAAGTTTTGATGATTGGAAAATTACATTAAAATAATTTAATTTTAATTAAAATAAAAAAAAACGATACAAAAACGGTTGAAACGATTTTGATAAAACATGTCTAAGAACCACAGCTAGAAAACCTGCTTTCAAATAAAACTAATCGGTTAACTCGTTTAAGAGCTAAGGTGTACAGAGACACACACACACACATAGCGGTGAAATTTATAACACCCCTCTTTTTGCAACGGGGGTTAATGTTAGGTAAATGCAAAGAATTAGACACACTATACAGTACGTATGCATACTCGTATATATAAATGGGTAATGTTTGATAGGTAATGTTCATAAATGAAGATAACCGCGAATATCAGTTCTACAACGTAGAGCTAGTGGTAACGGCTAGTAAAATTGTCGACACGCTAACGTTCACCTCCCGAGCGCGGGAGTCGGTCCAGCGGGAACTTGTCGTTAAGAATCCTTTAGGTTCTGACGCACTGTTCCAAGTCAGATGCGAAGGGTTGGAGTGTCCCGATGTCCTTAGAATCAGTAGAAATTCTGAAGTAAGTAACTGTTTATATATATTATTTGTAGTATTTTTGTTAATTTAGTAAAGAGAAGTGTAACACTGGTTTTATTGCATACTAGTTGTTGCTAGCGACAAAATTCGCACAAATCCAGCCGTTTAGCGTGAATAAATAAACAGACTCACAAAATTTGGAATTTATATTGATAGAAATAATTTAAAAAATCATAACTTTCTTGATAAATATTGGACAGGTTTTGCCATGTGTTCTTGCTAGATACAAAATAAAAAAAAATACCAAAGAGCCAACATGTAGCTTTTTCTAATTGATATAAAAATATCAGAGCCATACAGTGTGTAATTTTCATGTATCATTATATAATTTTTATGTACATGACAAACATACAAAATATATTTATTTAAATTCTTATAGACAGTACTTGTGATGGTGTACTCTCCGCTGGTGGTGGGCGAGATTCAAGATATACTGGAAGTTAGAAATGAGCTTGTAGGCTCATACATCTACAGCGTTATACTAAAATGTCTTCCCGCCAAAGTGAAGAATCTAGAATTTTCCACGCCATTAGGTTCATGTATTCCACTGCGTTTACGGGTCCAGAATAAAACTGATGTTCGAACTGATTTTATAGCAGCGGTTAATATTGTTATTTTTTTTTCTTATAATATGATTTTATATGTATATATTTTTTAAATCATATTTTCTAACTTATCATCTGAAACTACTAACAAAATATAATATTGATTATTCTTGAGGGGCTAGATAGAGACACGTCACTCTTATATGATTTCTGTGTTCTTAGCATTATGATTTAAAAGCTTTTCCAAAGATTAATCCATACTAATAATATAATTAATGTGAATATGTGTTTGTTTATCCTTCTTTTACGAATAACACTGAGTGACAGATTGGCGTGGTTTTTGTATGGAGATAGTTGGAGGGCCGGAGAGTAACATAGGCTACTGTTTACCGCGAGAGATTATCTCATTCCCACGGGAAAACACAATATATATATCTAATACGACACGACGACACGTTTGGCTCAGTTTGTAGTGATCCTACTTGCTGTGTCAGCAGTCGCGGGTTCGAGCCCCGCCTGGTATCCATAACACAAGCCTCGTAACTTACCATGGAACTAGATGGTGCGGTGTGTTAATGTCCCAACATATTTATTTAAAAAAAATATATTAAAAATGACACATTACGTTGCAATATTTATTAACATTTTATAGGTGTCCCATCCATCTATTATAACGGAAAAAGAATATACTCTAGGACCTTTTGAGAAAGGAAAGTTCCTAGCTTGGTTTGAGCCAACAGAGCTGGGTGTCCAGTATTGTAATGTTTCATTCAATTCTCCGATAGCAGGGGAATTCGTGTTAGTATAAATTAAAATTTAAACGTATATTTTTTTTATTTTAGTTTAGGTTGTATTAAATGTCTTTGTTTGATGTGACTTTGATAAAAATAATGGATGAATTAATCAAGTGTGCCAGCTTTTCGTTTCATTTAAAGATTTTATTGACAGTTTTTTTTTCTTTTTCGACAAAAAAAAAATAACAATTGCTTCACTGTCCCGCTTATATATATTATTTATTTATTGTTTATAAGTATTATATACGTTATAAACATTAAATAAATGAATTTTGAACGAGATTTAAATTGATTTAATCTTAGACAAGATTTGAATTTTCAATCTTAAAGATTTGACCAATGACATACCTGATACCCTTATCTTTTATTAATACTTACACTTGCAGATTCAATGTCAAAGGAATAGCAACAGAGCCGAAACCGCAGGGCCCGTATGAAATAGTAGCTGGCGGATCCACCGCCATTGTATTCAAAAATATATTTGAAGAAACACGCACGTTTAAAATACATGTAGACCGCGAAGAATTTCATATAAAAAGCATCTATGAACCTATAAAACCTAAAAAGGTATATAGTTTTTGATTTCTAACAGGTAATATGTAACTGCTATGTATTACGTATATATAATACGTACCTACATATATAAATATATATGTAGTTACATGAATCTTTTTCCTCGTTTTTAGGGTTCCGTACCCGAAGAGTGCCAACGGAATTCTATTATAAAGACTCCACTGTCCGTCCGTCTGTCAGAGGGCTATTTTTCATAAACCATATTAGGTAGAGTTGAATTTTCCACAAAGTAGGTATGTATTTCTATTGCTGCTACTACAACAAATAATGGGAATAAATAAAAATTAAAAATACAAGTAACATTTTTTTAACGTTCGTAATCGATCATCGAAGTTATATTATACTACATACATAGACTAAAAGTCATATTAATAAAAAGCACAAGTGCGATAGTACGGAACCCTTCGTGTGCGAATTCGACTCGCACTTGACCGTTTTTTTGTTAACTATTATACTTATCGGTTAAATACGGAAATTACGTCTGCCACAAATATGTATAAAAACCCGTGTATGTTAAAATTTAAATGTCTTTTGATAGGCGAAGCTCCATTAATGATAATATTTTAAAGACTTTACTTTGAAGCCGAATAATCTTAAATTATTTTAGGAATTAAAAGTGATGGTATATCTTAACGACATGCCTCCCAACAAACAGACGACAATGCCCACCGGTTGCCTCACTATAGAGACGTACGAGCCGCCCGAACCGAAAGTACAATGGACGTATTTTCTGCAAGGAGTCATGTGATTTAGAGCATATTTTAGAATACATGTTTTCAATAATTTTATTGTATTGTATTAATTAAATTTTTCTGTTACATAATAGTGTTTTGCTTTATGTTCAACTGACGAATTACACTCGCTTTGCTCGGGTGCATCCCTAGGTGCCGAACAAGAGCCTATGTTAATCTGTTGCTGTTTCTAATTATCTATTACTAAACATCCAAATCCGTCCAGCCCTTTTTGCGTGAAGGATCAACAAGCACAACACACACCCACATACTTATCGCATTTACATAAGTAGTCCGATTATTTTTTAACACTAGCGACTCGCCCCTCCGCTTGGGATCGTCCATTGGTATGTTTTAACCGTTAGTATAAATTTCTAAGAGATGAGATATTTTTCCGCAGTAAAAACTATGCTAAATGTTGACCTGGATAAGAGGCTATCGTCATACCAAAATTCATAAAAATCTATCCAGTGGTTTTCTCATGATGCCTTTCCCAGACAGACAGACAAAATACTAAAAACTATAGATTCGGCCTCTGTATCGATAATGATGACTATTTCAATAAGATATTCCAAAAAATATTTAAAGTACAGATTCGACTCAGTATATTATTATATGTATAGATATGGCGCTTTTAACCACACTAAATGATGTGAATTTATACGTAACTATAGCCAATGCTAATAGCTAAACTCACGGAGAAACTTATCCGTTCAGTACATCAAAATCAATTATCAAATCAAAATGTCGAATTAATAACATTAATATTAAAGAAATTAAATAATAACAAAACCAAAATGTTATAATCTGTTTATTTTTTACCAATCATTGACACCTAAATCCTGTACTACATCCTCAGTATCAGGTACATCAATTTCAGGTTCTATGTTCTTTTTCTGTTCTTTCTTCTTATTAACCTTCTTCTTCAATTTCTTCTTCTTGGGCTTCTCAGTTTCTTCGTCAAGTTTGAAATCATCCCCTTCATCTTCATCATCAGATGGGAACAGTACCAACGGTCCTTTCTTCTCAGGTTTACTTGCTATGTCTTCATTTTCGGCTATCTTTGGCCTTTTGATGATTGGCATTACTCCAGCTAATTCATCATTCTTGGTCACCTTCTTACGTTTTTGTATTTTATTCACCTTATTCCAATTCTCGAAGAATGTAAGCAACGGTGTGCCCTTAGCTTTGATACTTGCTTCCCATGCTGCCACCATTTTTTCCTCATTTAAGGCAAAGCTTATTTTAGCCCTTTCTTTTTCAATAAATCTAGAATTTTCTTCGATTTTTTCTAAAAGTTGCCGCATCCTCTTTGTGTAATTTGATACAGAACATGACTTCAAGAATTGTTTTATCTGTAAAATAATAAACATCTACTTGAGAAAAATGTTTGGTTGGTTTAACGAGATCAGAACAAAAATGTGAACAGTCTACATATAAAAAAATACTAAGCCGAATCTGTACATTAATTTTTTTTTTGAAAATCTTATTGAAAGTCATTATCGATACAGAGGCCCGAGTCTATAGTTCTTAGAATTTTTGTTCAGTTTTTGGTGTCACATTTAAAATAGCAGTGTACACATGACTTACATACTTTATATGATTACCTTATGCATATTTGGCTGATTTTGGTGAATTTAATAAACAAATTAGTTCTGTATAAAATTCCCAGCAACTGCTACACAACATCCCCTAGAGTATTTATTTCATCTAAGCATCTATTAACAATATGTGTCTTAATAACATTATGCACAGGATTCCGATTCTTTCACATCATTTTGAAACATGTGAAAAACATTGTGATTTCTCTACTATGTCTTCAAATTAAAATGAGTATGGGCAAAAACCGAGTAAACAATTTTAATTAATTGGGATAGAATACATTACACAGCAAGTGAAAAATAATAAAATTAATTATTGAATAATATGTAATGTATACCTATTTATGTCAAATAAAATGTAAATAACTTTTAAACTTGGTAAAAATATGATAAAAAAATAAACCTTATAATTATCCTACTCCTGATACTCTAGATTATTCAAGTTTCGCTTCTACCATGTGTGAATTGCACAACACACACACACACTTTTTTATATTTACTATTATATAATTAGCATATAATAAAATTGTAGCAGAAAGTAATACAAAATGGAAGAGCGGGATAAGCAGAGAATCTACATGTCGAGAACAAATTGTCATAGCACCATTTTGTGAAAATAAAATTAAACACAAACCTGTATTATTGCCAATAGTGAAATATCTGGGAAGGCAATAGAATGTGACTCATTAGCCATATATTCCAGTAGCAGACCATAAACTCTGTCTATGACAGAATCTTTGAAACCATTCTCCATTAATTGTGACTTAGCCAATCTCAGTATACAAGAGAAGTCTAATGGCTTCATTGAAACTTTTTTATTCTTTTTATTGAAATCATATGATGTTAAAACCTGCAATACAGATATAAATTAAGATCTATATTTTTTAAGTTATTATGATGTTATCATGTAATGTTAAATAATAGTACTTTTTGCTTTGGAATAAGACAAAATTTAGTGAATATAATAGAAGTATGATATAACTAGTGGACCACTTCTAGGAAAACAAAAACAAACCTATGCCACGGGAACTGTACATTTTTCCGGGACAAAAAGTAGCCTGTGCCAAATTTCATCCAGATCCGTTCAGCCATTCTGGTGTGAAAGAGTAACAAACATCCATACATACTCACAAACTTTAACAATTTTAATATTATAATTATAATATGGATATAGTTATTAATAAAAGATACCAGTCCGACATAATATAGCACATCTTTTTTAGAAGTTATTTAAATTAAGGCTTTTTTGGAGATCATAATGTATGTACTATGTATATTAGACCAAATTACAACTAAAAGCTTATAGTTTCAGCATATGCATTTGTCTTACATAAATATGCTTTTATTCCAAGTGGGATTAACATATATTTTTTTCACAGTTCTAAGTAAGAATATTTCCAGGACTTCTAGTCCTGTAAAACATTTTATTTATGGTTCCTCTATTTAATTGTCATTCTCTATGATATATTGTGTTATTAATAAGGTATTCTTCATAAATTGATATTTAGTGAACTCTATAATTTAATTATACTATAAGTTTTAATTAACAGAAAAGGCAGACATAACAATAATTGGAATTATATCTATATATATAAAAGAAAGTCGTGTTAGTTACTTCGCTTATAACTCAAGAACGGCTGAACCGATTTAGCTGAAAATTGGCAGGGAGGTAGTTTAGAGCCAGGAGAAGGACATAGGATACTTTTTATCCCGTTCGACCGCGTTCCAATTTTTATGATATTTTAATTTTTGGATTTCTCTTAGTCCGGAATAGGTAAGTATTAAAACATATAATTAAAATGTGAGAAAGAAAGATTTTTTCTTTTTATATCTATTTAAAACGTACCTAGCGACGAACCCGAGCGAAGCGAGGGTGAGCCGCTAGTTTACTATAAAACTAAAATTAATTGAAAAAGTCATGATAATTAGATAAAAAAATTTGCTAATTGATGGAAAATAAAATATATGATACTATAATATAATTTAGTGATTTAAACTTACCTCTACTAAAAATGGCAGTATAGGTATGAAAGTATTAGTTTCTTTTGACAGATTTATGAGAATCTCCACACAATGGAATCTCAATGGATAATATTGATGGGTTGGCACCAGTTTTATCGAGTTTGTAATAACCATGACTAAAGGATACAGCAATGGTTGCAACTGAGGCTTGTTAGATGATGCAGATATTAAATCGGCCCACAAATGTAAAGAATTTACAAACTGCCAGTTATAAACTGCCTGCCGATTCTCAACTTTCTGAACAACAATTGCATTTCTCAAATGTATTGCTAGTTGTCGTATATAGAGAAATACATGGTGATATGACACATTTAGATCTAATGTGAACATTTCAACTAATGACCTCCTCATAAAATTTATTCCAGGCCAAGTAGAGGGGCTCACAAATTTGCAATTTTTAACATATGTCAGATACATTGCTTTTAAAACTAAATCTAAGAGGGCTGTTTGTTGGTTTCTTGTTATTCTCAAAATGCATAGAAATGCCAAAACCCTCACTGTCTCCTCACTATTACTCCAAAGTGAGATTAATTTTTTTAATGCTCTTTTAGATATACTGTTAAAGCATGCCACGTAGACAGACATTTGATGTAAATGCTTAAGAAGTACTGTAAGAATATTTTCTGAAGTCACTCCACTAAGCAATTTTAACAGATCCTTAAGGTATGCCACAAGTGGACCCTTAATTTTAATGAAATGTTTACACTTTTGAGGGTCTTTACCAGATTGTTCCATACCCAAATACTTTTTTATTGCCGGAGGCAAGTATAAAACACACATTTGTATGACTGCATTGAAAATTGAAGAACCTGAAATGAGAATTTTAAGATAATTATTTAATAATGGTTTAACCATAAACTAAAATGATATAATAGGAAATACAAAAAACAAATTCTTAAACTTTAACAAAGCAACACTGCAACCACATTGAGTATTATTATAAAATATTCACCTTCAACTTTAAATTCTCCAACAGAGGCACCATCCTCACTTGTGGCTCTAATCATAGCTGCGTTAAATACTTTGATGACAGTGGTTAAAGTAGTTAATTTTACTTTGCCTTCAGCTTGAAGCTCTGATTGCCATTGTGCAACCATTTTCAGAGTTATTTTTCCATGAACAACTTTAGCATCTTCATCCTAAAAATTACATAATAGATTTAAAGCTAAACAATATTTTGTATTAATTAGTAATAGAGTGGTTCATTTGTAAGTATGAATATGTAAATTTATAAATTGAGCTTTGTATTCAACGACTGTTGTACAACTTAATGGTAAGAATGTTTTACCTCAAAATCACTTTCATCGCTGTCACCAGTAAGGGGCCCAGGTACATGTAACTGATCCTCATCATCTTTACCATCATTATCATCATCATCGCCAGAGTCAGTTTCAAAGTTAAGTAGGTTTTCGTCATTTTCTTCGAGAAAGTTATAAAAATCCGGGTCTATTTTTTTTAATTTCTCTAGTGACTTTTTGTGAGTCTCTGGTGAAAGTTCTTGTTCAGAGTCTAAAAAGTAAAGTTAAAACGTTAATATATCTCCAAACAATTAACTATTAAGTAAACAAGACATTTAATAAATTATACAATTTAGTGCTAACCTGAACCGTTCTCCGATGGAGGTTTAGGCATTTTCTTAATCTTCATATTTGTATGAATTATCTATATATATGATCAAAATATATGTTTGAATTTTTTTTTGTCTTGCTTAATAAATACTATAGCGAAATATTTTGCAATTTTAACACGTTATTCCCTCGTGGTTTTATTTATAAATTTGACAATTGACAAATGACAATCTGTAGCAATATACTCTATGATCATAGAGTATATCATGGATGACAAATAAAAGAGTATATTGCTACATATATAAACTCTATGATGACAATGAAGGAATGACAACTTGAAGTCTGATATCTGATCGATAATTGATGTAGTGCGTTGGCCGTTGACAACAACAGACTAGTAAGAGTCAAGAGATATTTTTTTTTCTTTATAGTAGGGGAGCCCAAGAGGGGATTTTCTGTAGTTACTCGAGCGCGGCAGATTAACATAAAAGAGGTTACCTTGCACTCTATTGAGTACTTTCACCATAATATAAGTCTTCTATATAAAGGGGCGCGTCTAGGGAAGCCGATTAAAATATTTAAAAAATGTTTTGATAAGGTAGAAATACTTGAAACCGTCAGATTAAGGTGTGGTAGGCTAGTCACATCCTGAAAAGTGTCCAATTCAATAATCTGCCGATTTGCACAAGCCGAAGAGGCAAAAATCGACTATAAAGTTTATGATGATATTTTAATCGGCTTCCCTAGACGCGCCCCTTTATATAGAAGACTTATATTGTGGTGAAAGTACTCAATAGAGTGCAAGGTAACCTCTTTTATGTTAATCTGCCGCGCTCGAGTAACTACAGAAAATCCCCTCTTGGGCTCCCCTACCATTAGTGGCGTAAGAGATTTTGAAATCTCACATTTAGCAGTCGGTATGTGGTATATTTCTATGTAAATTTATGTTTCTATGTAAGTGGCAATGTGTTTTTTTTTATAGAAATAAAAATATCTATAAACCGAACTTTTTTATTTTTTTAATTTCAGGTAGAACAATAATGCGGCTTGAATAATTAATATTCTATTTTCTTTATGTGTATAAATATAATAATCACCGTACTAAACAAGATTACTAAAATGGATGACAAATAACACCACGCACCCTCTACCGTCACCCACGACGACTTAATGGAAGGAGTTACAAACCTTAGTTTAATTTGTTGTAGTTTTTATATATAAAGATTAAAACATTTTACACTGAAACAAACATGTCTTTAATTCTATTTAATGACAAAGGATGATGATTCTATTTAAAATAAAAGTAAAAAAATATAGTTTTATATAATATATTTTTAACGTCCCTACCAATAACTAATATATGAAGCCGCGAGCGAAATGCTACGAAAAATAAAATAATAGGCTTAGTACTTTTGTATGCGAGTATACCCATGCGCAAACATATCCCCTCCACTTTCTTCCAGCGTTCTTTTTACAAAGCGCGAGTAATACACATTTTCATTGTTTAAGAGTTTTGTAAATTTTGTTCAATTTTTGTATAAAAGGAGTTTTGGGAACTAATGATATCCATTTTTTTTGCATCCTAGCACTGTAAAATTTGTCATTTTAATTAAATTTTAAATAGAATGAAAAAAAAAAAACATCTATGCTGTAGAGCTTTACAATATTATACTGAGAGTCAAAGTGATCGCAGTATCTGGCGAGAGAAAAAGGAAAGAAAAAAAAAATCTTTTCCTTAATAGATCTATATGTTTTATTTTAGATGTATCAGCACAGATCAGGAATATTTAACTGAATTTTATCAAAATCCATCCAACCGTTTCAACGTGAAGGAGTAACAAACATACACACATACACACTCTTTTGCATTTATAAATTATAATAGTAATCCTAATCCGATTATGAAATTTAAATATATTCTACATTTTAAATTCATATTATATTCACTCTAAAATCGATTATCAATCGATGATATACAACACTAAATGGGCTACAAACCGGAATGTCAAAATTATTATGACGTTTTCTTTTTCGTTCTTACCAACCAGTGACGAATAAGTGTTTATTTGCTGTTAAAATCCAAAATATGGCTGCTGAAATAAAACCTGCACCGAGAACACCTAACGACAGATTTTCAACAACTAAAAAACCAGCACTTTTGAGTAAATTGGAAGGTTGTACCGACGATGTCAACGCTGCGGTTGTGATTCCTGGGGAGGATGGAGTTATTAGTGTTTGCGATGATAAGTAAGAGCTTTATAGACTTTACATTGTATTCATTTGCTGTATAACGTTCATTTAAGCATATTATTTTAATACCTAATTTCATTTAAACAAAGTTTATATAGGCAGTACTATATATCCAAATAGACTAAAGTTATTTTTTATATTATTTTAAGGACAGTCAGGGTATGGTTAAAGAGAGATTCAGGTCAGTACTGGCCAAGTATTTGCCAATACATGCCATCAGGCTGTACATCAATGTTCTACACTCCTGAAACACGTCAGCTCTTCATTGGTCAAGAAAATGGCACAATATCAGAATTTACTCTTGCTTCTGATTGCAATAGAATAAATCCAGTAAGTTTAATATTTTAATTAAAAAACTAAGAAATATTATCTATGATTTGGTCCAGAAATTTGTAAATAACATAATTAGCGGGGTAGGTAAATAAAAACAATAAAACAACACTTTTTACTTTATATTTAATGGATCTTTTGAAGTAAAAGGAGTATGAGCCGATTTTATAATATAAGCGGATCAATTTTATTTACAACAATATGGAAAGATATGGTATAATGCCATCAAAAAAGTAAATTCAAATTGAGAACATCCATAAGAATACTTTTACATTTATAAAACAAATGCAAGGTTCTCATCTCATTTTAATTTTTATATGTGATGTGATGAGATATTTTCCTGCAGCAAAAAATATCCTATATGTTGACCCGGATAACCATCTCTCATCATACCAAATTTCATTAAAATCTATCCAGTGCTTTTCTTGTGATAAGTTCCCAGACAGAATAATTCTCAAAACTATAGATTTGTCCTCTGTTATCAATAATAATGACAATTTCAATAAGATTTTCCAAAAAATATTTAATGTACAGATTCGACTCAGAATTTTTTTATATGTACATTGTACAGATATGTAACAAATGAAATAAGAATTATCTACATTGTGATACTAATGACCTTGATATTAATTACTAGTAAACATTTAAAAACACATTTTTACTATTTCACATATAAGTATTACATCATTCAAGGATATAATTATACCTTAAATATTCTAAGTTAATGAGAAATGCTGGCATTGAACATATTTAATGAAGTGAGTATATTTAAAAAAATACAAATATGTAACATATAGATATCTATCTATACTGCCGTCATATAAAAGAAGGCCACAACTTTGTCAAAGTTGATTTCAAAGTATTTGAAGTTTTGTCTTAATTCTTACTAGTAGTTTGTATGTAGTTATGATAAAAATAGTTATGATATCTCTGGATTCATAAGACTTGAAGCTTTATGAGTAAGTCTATCAAGTAGCATTTTTTTACTGATTCTGAATCTGCATTTAATTTATTTTTGACCAAATTGTTAGTTAGGGCCTTCTCTATTATGGCGGTAGTATATTATTTATAGACTTATATGTACATTGACATATAATGTTGTAGCACCATTTTTTGTTACATATTTTTTTGTATTGTATATCTCACATAACAGGTTCTTTGAAGTATTTTTTGTAGAAATAATATTCAATACTGTTTACTTGTTTATATTTATGAAATAGATATTAATTTTATTATATTTGATATTTTTTAGTTATTATATAATAATTAATGTGTTAGTATGTGTTCACATAATGTGCTGCTTAATGTGTCATAGGTAACAGATTAAATATGTGCAAAAGGCAACTTATTGTGAAATGATGAAGAATTAGTATAAAGGTGTAAGCTACTACTAAAAAAAAGAAAATTATTTATTATTCGTAAATTAAATTTTCATATATTATATATTTTTAGAGCCGTGAGTACCTGGCACATACAGCAAGGGTGACAGCTGTAGTATTTTCTCTGAGCTGCGAATGGGTGTTATCAGTCAGTAGGGATAAGCTGTTTTCTTATCACTGCAGTGAGACTGGAAGGAGGATTGGTGGTTATTCTTTTGAAGCTTGGTGTACCGCATTGCAGTATCCTTTTAATTATTATTATAGAAGTGTTCGATATAGTTATAAAAGTTTGTCTACTTAACTATATATCTTTTAACCTCACAAGCAAGCTAAAGTGTAGGTTAATAGAATAATAATACTTCTAAATGTTAATACAAATGACCAAAAATTGCTAAATTCTTTTTTCACTATGACTATTAACAACACATATGTATATAGATTATTGTAAGTATGAGAGAATCAAATAATTTCAACAATGTTTCTTATTATTTAATAAATATATTTAATATTATGTTAGTAATATGGCTTCCGCTGTGATTATTAAAGAAAATACAAGAAACCATAGAAGAGTTACTTTAAATAAAATATAGAAAATTATTATTATTTGCATATATTGTACCATATCTCCTTATCATATACCGTATACATTTAACAATATGTGTTTAACTTTTCATGAGTTTTAATTGTATGTATATGTATGCATTTTAATATAATTATGTCATTTGTAATAAAATTTCTTATCTCGCTAAAATACAAATGAATTTCCTGAACAGAAAAAAACAGGTTCGATTCTCAGTCAAAATACGCGTTCATTGGCGATTATAGTGGGCAGATAACAATGTTAAAACTTGATAACAATGGTGCAACACTAGTAACGACTTTGAAAGGACACACTGGGTAAGGAATTAATATAGTTATTATGATATTTATTTAGGAATTAATATAGTTATTATAATATTGACTTTGAATGATAATATATAAAATTCCCGTGTCACGATGTTGGTCCGGGATAAACTCCGAAACTGCTTATCCGATTTTAACGTATTTTTATTGAAAATGTGTGATTTGTTCCAACTTAAAAGATAAGACAGATTTTATTTTTTCCCCGATTTTTTCCTTTTTTTTATTGCGAAATTAATGATTTTCGTATGTGTGCGACAGCAATGCGTAGCCGGGTCATCTAGTGTAGCCTGGAGCAAGTTTTTGGTGACACCCCGCTTGGGTCATGTTTTATTATATGTTTTATTGCTTAAAAAAATATATTTCGCATAGAAAAAGAGTCAGGGGTCCACCACATAGATCGGGATATCCTACTATTAGTTATGTATTTATTACTAGCATTTCCCGCGGCTCCGCCCGCGTTCAGATTACCAAAAACCAAATTCTTAGGTTTTACATATTAGTATACTTTTACATTGCAATTTTTGTATTTTTTCTCAGAAATGAGATTTTTCCCGCGGTAAAATGTATCCTATATGTTGACCCCGATAACCAGCTATCATCATACCAAATTTCATCAAAATCCCTCCAGTGGTTTTTCCGTGATGCGGTAACAGACAGACAGACAAAAAATCTAAAAACTATAGATTCGGCCTCTGTATCGACAATAATGTCTATTTTAATAAGATTTTCCAAAAAATATTTAATGTACAGATTCGGCTTCAGTTACATTTTTATTATATGTATGGATAAAAAGAAATTAGAACATTCAGGTACAATGTATACTCGTGAAGTTACTGATCAAAAAATATAGTTTCTTAATATAAGTATTTTGAAATTGTTTTAGTTCGGTGAGAGTATTGAATTGGGCACCAATTCCACAGTTGTTGTTCAGTGGCTCCTTTGATCAAACTATTATTGTATGGGACATCGGTGGGCAAAAGGGCACAGCTTATGAATTACAAGGCCATAGGTAAGGATGATATTTAAGTTTAGTCTATTGAATCACCTTTCTGTTTAACTGTGTCTCTCATGCCTTTGAGTATTTTTACATTTTTTTTAATTTTCTTATGATTTTTTTTGCATTACAATCTAGCTGAAATATTTGTATGTTATTGCAATAGATATAAAAACAAAAATAGTAAAATTGTTAAACATTAATGAAGTATTGTGGTTTGCACAACAGAGTAATAAGTAGATCCTCAACGATTTCCAGTAGCTAACCGTTCTTTTTGCCTTGCTTTGGAAGTAGTCCTTTTCATGTGTTTGTCAAAATAATTGTAATTCGAGTTAATTATGTTTTCATTGGCACGCATTAAAGCCATTAAAGCAAAGAACTGACTAACTATATTTTCATTAAACCATATCTGTTAGGCTAAAAATAATTCCCATATTTTTTTCTTTTAGCATCAGGTCTGCCACAGCTTCTTTTTTCTTTTTTAATTTTCTCTAAACAGGAGTTATAATTTTTATCACGCTATCGATTTTCTTGTCTTATCTTAAATTTTAAGACTGTTGGATTCGTAATACTAATTGTATCATTCATTCACACTCTGTCACCAACAAAGTGATTGGGCTGTGATAATACCGTTGAGTGTCCAATAATAATTTTCTTCACTCTCACGTCTCACATTCACTCTGAAGTGACAGATCTGTGGTAATAGCACTGATATCGTAGTTTCTCTCATTCTCTCCCGTAACATAGTGACGACTGACGGACTTTGCTAATACCATTCAGTTTGTAATAATAATCATTTCATTCAATCCCATTCAACCAGCAACAAAGTGACGGGCCTATGGTACGTGGGCGGGTGCCAGCGGCTGGTGTCGTGCGGGGAGGACGGCGCGCTGGGCGTGTGGGAGATGGGCGTGCAGCGGCGGGAGACGCCGGCGTGGCGCGAGGCGGACCTCTGCCAGCTGTGCCGCGCGCCGTTCATATGGAATGTTAGGGCTATGATGGAGAAGAAACAGTTGGGTGAGTAGAGTCAATTGTTCATTCGTTCATTCAGTTATAAATATGTATTTTTCTATTTAGTACTAGCGACTCACTCGTTTCGCTCGGATTCGTCCCTAGCTTACCACCCAATACAAACTTTAGCCCCCATTTTCAACCCCTTCAGGGATGATTTCCGGGATTCAAGTATTCTATGTCCTTCCCAGGGTCTCAAACTATCTTCTTACCAAATTTCATCTAAATCGGTTCAGTAGATCCAGAGATTACCCCCTACAACCTCACAAACTCACAAACTTTAACTCCTTATAATATTAGTTTAGATCATTTGTACATCAGTTGTTCATGTGGAATGTGTGTATGATGGAGAAGCAGGTAGGTAAGTGGAGTTGTTCATTCATCCATTCAGTTTATTCAGTAATAATCGAAAGTTTTTTGTGTGAGGTCGATCTGTAAGTTGGTCGTATGATTCGTTGTTCAATTTTTTTAATAAATTGTTTTCGTAAAATAATCAATTAATATTTTAAAAATATATTATTATTTGGATGTGAAGATTGTCTTTCCTTACTTTTTACTTTGTATCAGGAAGTAATGTGTGTATACGTTAAATAATATGTTCATTTTATTATGAATGAAAAAAATATATGATTTATTATTATTAAAAAAAATTTTTAGGTATTAAATTTTTGTCTATTTGTCCGTATGACTGTGTGCATTTCACGCAAGAAGTACCGATTTTAACTAGATTTTGTGCAATGATAACTTATTATTCGGGTCAACATAAAGGATACCTTGAACTTCAGAAAAATCTTTTATTCCTTCGGGAAAACACCAGAACTGGCTCTGTTGAGTTGCTAAATCTTAACAGATACATCAAAACAATATATTAAAAAATTGTAGACGTATGTGACGACGTACAGAAATGTCTGCAATAGCATAAGTCTATCCCTTAAGGTACATTTGCAAAACTATTTATATATATCTATACAGATAAATGAAATTGAAGAGTCTGTTTGTAATGTCAAAATAACAGCTTTTTACTAAATGCTTTTGCAATTCATTTGTGTGATTAGTACGAACGTTAGTACTTCAGTCATGGGTGTTTATATTTTTATAATATGTATGTATTTAAAAATTATATATGTGTAGTGTATCAACTATCTGGTATCCGTAACACGCGCCTCGTAGCTTACCATGGAACTAGATGGTGCTGTGTGTTAATGTCCCAACATATTAATGTGTGCGCGCAGGTCTCCGCCAGCACCACTGCCGCTGGTGCGGCGCGGCGGTGTGCGGCGCGTGCTCGCCGCACCGCCTGCCGCTGCCCGTCATGGGCTTCGAGTTCCCGCAGCGCGTGTGCGCCGCCTGCTACGACACGCTGCGCCACGAGCCGTGAGTGTCCGCGCTTATATTTACTATTCGATACTTCCGTCTAATATTATATTCTTTACTAGCGACTCACGCTAGTTCGTCTCTAGGTTGCTTCACCATGCAAACTTTCATCCTCATTTTCACCTCCTTAAGGGATGATTTCCGGGATAAAGACTATCCTATGACCTTCCCAGGGTCTCAAAATATCTTTTCACCAATTTTCATCTAACTCAGTTCAGTAGTTTCGGAGCCTATTCGGTACAAACAAACAAACGAACAAAAAAATCTTTCCATGTATAAATATTAGTATAGATTGCACTATATTATATTACACTATTCAATTCAATTTTCTTACAAATAAATAAGATAGAGTGTGTAGAACAATAAAAGTAAAACTCTCGAAAACAGCCATGGAACCTATGTATGTTAGTATCAAAATGGAAAATCACATGAGACGTCACGCGAGTGCATGATTGGTTTGTTAGACGATACTTGTCTGTTGGACGCCTACGTGGTTGCACGTAATTATCGAAAGGTCAAAGTATATGTCGAAAGTATTTCTGTTGAACAAGTTAGGACAATTTAAGAAATATTCATTGATATTATACATGTAAAGTGTGTTTGTTTTGTCCCTCTTTCACGTCAGAACAGAGGGACGGATTGGCGTTATTTTTGTATGGGGATAATTGTAGGGCTGGAGATTGAAATAGGATACTTTTTACCGCGGAAGATTATCTCTCTCTTATTATCTCATTCTCACGGGAAAACTCGTTATAATACGAACCAAAAATTTATGATCAGAATAACTTGAAACTTGGTATTAATGCTCTTCAATACAATTAAATAAATACGTGTTTTAGCATTTTTCGAAATTCATCCTATGAGGGGGTTAAATAGGAGATGAAAGTTTGTAAGATTTTTAGTAGTTTTAGCGCGAGCGGAGCCGCGGGTTCTGCTAGCTAGTTAAATTGATCATTTTGAATAATTAGAAAGATAAGACTGTTGTCTAAATTCAACAAACAAAATGACATTGCAATTTAAAAAAAAAAAAATTATTATTGACGCTGGTCAAGAAGATAAAACTATTTAGTGAAATATATTAAAAACTAGTAACCCAACAGAGTCTTGTCGTCGTCTTGTCCAAACTTTAATGAATTGTTTGTAATCTTTTACTTTATACAAAAATCCTATTAAAAAAACTACTTACTTTTTCCAAATTCCCTAGTTTTCTTCTCATTCGTACTATAAGGAATATGTAATATAAAAAAGCTATTACGGTCCGTTCTCGTTCGTTCGTTAAACGTTCTCAAGTTATGCGCTTACCAATGAACAGCATTTCATTTTGCCTCGACTTTGGCAAAGCCAAAAAGAAGTGCTTAAGCAGATAGTATAATTTTTTATTATTATAGGATTTATGTAGATAACATAGAAGGAAACGCACACAAAGTGTCACTTTTAGTGTAAAAAAATATAATCAATTTCAATGGAAACTGCTAATAATGTAAACAAACCTTGTATTCTCCTTCTTTCAGTCGCGAGTCTCTAGCGTCGTTCCATGACATGAAGCACGCGGTGGCGTCCCTTTTCGTAGACGAGGCTACGGGCCGCATGTGTACAGCGGGAAAGGACCGGGTTATTAAGGTATATATAACTTTACCTCTGTTCTCTCTTAACCTTTTTTTTAGTGTTGCGAATTGCATTTATGCATACCACATCTACAATGGTTTTATGGTGACTTCCGCTAGATAAAGTGGTTTAATCACTAAAACCCTGGAACCTCCCCCGTCTTATTGGAGCACTTCAGGATCCCTTATGTACTCAACCAAAACGCCCCGACGGCAGGCCTGCCGAAGCAGACCACAACAGAATTGGGACTGCTCCCACTGTCTACTTTGCTGTCAGAAAGTGCTAGGAGTAACCTCATGCCCCATAAGTGCGCTTCTTGGATTTACTGGCTGGATTGCCGGTCGCTCCTAATGAGCCTCTCCAACACGCAAATGTGAACATACACCAGGGGGTGGGAGTGGGGGTGGTGATTGCCCCCTTCTCTCGTGTAATCGTTGCTTTATTGCTTATTTGTTCAAATGACCAATACTTTTTTTTCTCCAGTTTATATAGATTAGAGTTTATAGAATTGACATTTAAAAGTTAATAATGACTTATTAAAACTCTTTCGGTAAATTGGTCGTTTGGACAAACAAGCACTGAGACGATGTAACGTAATTAAGACTAATTAATTACATCAACATAATTCTTTTAAGGTATGGGATATCAGTGTGCTGCTCGCACCCGCGCCCAAACCCGGTACCAGTGACCAATAATGAACGACTTAGGCCATCTCCACACGATACACGCGATCACTCCGTCAACTATATCTTAATATATAATCTGTACTGATAAGATGTAATGTATGGAATGTGGCAACATTGAAATATTAATTTATTTTTAAGTTAAATGAAATAACTGTATTATTGATAGTCAATTTTTTTTTTGGTAGAGTATTATGCCGATTTTTTTATTACGATTTAGTATTGTTTTCTTAACATTATATAAATATATAACGGCAGATCTAAAAATTGTTAGTTTGTTATTAATATATAACGATTATAATTAAAAATTGTAAAAATTAAATAATAGACGTTTCGATTTAAATTTTTGTAAAGTTTCCATTATGTATTTAAAATAACATATTAAATTAATTCATTTATTACTTCAGTGTAACACATTTAGAAAGTTTCATGTTATTTTGTGTAGGAAATGTTATACCGACGTCACATCGAACCGGAGGTCGCACGTTCGATACGACCATATTTTCATACGATTATATTGTCGTGTAGACATTTGTCGTTGGAATTTGCAGTAAAATAGTATACTGAAACATGTTATATTATTATTATTTATAAAATATAGGTTAAATGAGAAAATTTCCAAAAAGTAGAAAAAATATACTTTCACTAAACCAAGTAATATTTTAATAACGCTATTTACTTTTAATCAAATGTAATGTAATAAAAAGGTCCAACGAATGTTTTCTTTTAATATTTAGTTTCTCCAGCTATCTTTAATGTAAGACTGAATCTTTCAGGATAATAATTTATAAAGAGATCTTGGATACTAGTGTGTGTAACTAGAGTAGGTTTTACAGTTAGTGCGAAATATGATGCCGGCTGTTCACACTCGTCGAGAGTTCCTTGCCTCGACTATCGAGCTTTTGGTACTTAGAGGATCGTGACCAGGCCTACCATGTACATACTCGTTGTATCAGTTGAACTCAAGACACCGTTCACCGTATCCGCCTTGATGGACTTCAAACTCACATAAACAGTTAGCAGGCAACTAAACAAACGAGTGCGTACATGTTCGTTGAGAGAGAGAGAGACGAGACGAGAGCTCCATGTACACATTCGCTCTCGGCCTGTCTCGTGATGTCTTGGCGAGTGTGTACAACCGGCATAAAGGTTTATAGCCTTAGAAATCTTGTTTTTTTTTATAGATGAATAATCTTATAGAAATGGTTGTTGAAGCATTTTCTACGTATATATAGAGAAAGGTTTAAATGTCACTTTCTATTTTGCGTGTCAACTTATTCTAATATGTATGCGTAATTTTCAATATAATATATTGGCGTGTTGAGACGGTTTATTTTTAAGACGGCGATTCTACGGTTCTTACGACGCAACGATTTGATGGCGGATTTGTATAGATCTCGACGAAATATGGCGAAAAGTAAAAATATTATATAATATTTTCGAAATCTCGCTTATTTTTCGAGATATCGATACTCAAAAAACGAAAATTGAATTTCTCTTTTACTTTTTTTTGAAAGAATTCTATATTTTTGAAACATAAAACGAAGTTTTACATTTTTCTATTTTTGAGTACTGATATCTCGAAAACCGAGCGAGGTATCAAAAAGTTTTATTCTTATTTTTCGTCTTATATTGTCGAGATCTATATAAATCCTTCAAATTGTGGCACCGTAAGAACCGTTGTCTTGCCTTTAAAACGATCATAAAGATTACATTAAGTAAATATTCAGTATAAATGTCGGTGAATATATTTTTTCTCATCAAGTCGATAGGCCTTCGGTGAAACACCCTTTTTATAGGCCTCTATAAATGTAGAGACGGCCATTTCGCTATTTATATGCAAATATAACAATTATTACAGGTAGAAAGAGTTTGAACGAAAATGTTAATATATTGATGTGTTCATAAAAGCTATTTAATCTGTGTCACGGACACGTATTGACCAAAATATAAAAAATGGTCTCTTATAGAAAAGACTACTTATTTATGGTAAGATGTGCTTGGCGATTGTATTTATTGCCGAACAAACATTAATTTAATCAAAATATCTAATGCAAATTGTCTGCATTGTCTTGTGTTACAGTCATTTATATATTTTCGATTTTTCATAAAACATACAATATGTTATACTACCTTTTCTATTATAACCTTAATTATGCTATCAATTATTTCGAAGAAAAAAAAAAGAATGGCCGTAAATGACTCTTTATTAAAAAAAAATCTATGTATAATTTATTTTTTGTGTAACTGTTAGAACTCACTATTGTTGCATTTGTGTGTTGATGTTTTAATTATTCAAGTTTACTAGTTTTTTTAATAATTGCATTTTTTATTATTAAATACTTAAAATCAATAATTTAATTTAAATCGTGTAGACGCTGCTTTATTCTAAATTTAAAAAAAAAGAAATAATAGTACTTACAGCTTACTTTATTTTTTATTTCAATTATAGATGTGATAAAAAGTATTTGTATTGCATCATAATATACAAAATAATTGAACTATCGGGATGTTATAAGTTAACACGTGATTATAACTAGTAGAAGTACTACTTAAATATATTAATGTAATATCAATTGTTTGAAATCGTCCCCGGTGTGGACCAAATGAAGGGTTCAGGCAAAGAACAGTCAATTTCTCAATTTTTGTTTTGTACTAGAAATTTATCTATGGTAATTGCATTGCCAACGATTAGTTTTTCAAATACTCAACGGATGTCGTTGAGAATACGTTTTTAATTTTATCTATGCCCAAAGCGAGAAGAATTGGGATGTCCATGACATACCGCTAAAGAAAGAGGATTGTTCAACAATGTATGTATGTACATAGTTAAAAGTTACTGCATATTTTGATCTCAATAAAAATATAATAACTTTTAAACTTTAAATTGCGTTTTTCTCATAATTCATTCATTTATTAGGACACTGCCTGTTCTTTGCATGTACCCTTCAAATGATTTATGATATTGCTATATAAAAAATAACGTCTCGTTATTCAATATTTATTACAACCACACCCGGAAACCGGTACCTATAACTTATATATTAAATGTTAAGCTCAGTCTACATCCGCTAATTTGCGTCGCGGTCTAACGGAAGTGAAATGAGTTTAGAAGGTGAGATTTCATAATGTGACGCATTTCGACAGTGTAGACCCAGCTTAACTTGGGCAAATTCAATGTAAAATCAGTAAATTATCGGACACGTAATATTTAATTGTATATTGTATATTGAACAAACATGTCTACACTGGTGTGTAACGACTTGGCGGGACTAGTCTTACTCGTAGTTTGGTCATATGTATACTGAAATTACATTGTGTTATATTCTTCTATGTATATTATATCTTTAAATAGAATATAATGTATAATATGCGTAGGCAACCGCCTACAGTCTGTTTTCGTTGTCTAAGGTTCGGATTATAGATATACATATATATAAAATAAATTACATTTACGTTATTAAAAGATAAATATTTTTTTATTCACGGAGCTTATTTGTGTTTGTAAGTAACACTGTAACATACAGTCACTGTGTAATTATTGGATATATTATGTTAAATCTAATATAGGTCGCTTAAAGTTTTTATGCCAATAAAATGATGTATAAATTATGTCTATTTTTTTCACAATCTGAGGTAGCTCGATATAAGTTATTAGGAATGAGCGAGGCAGTGGAATTAGCACTGTTATTCTAATGGTTAAATATCAATAAATACTAAAAGTAAGGGATATTATACAAAATATGTCAATGACACGGTCAGCCTTTATAGTCAGGTACGTCGTAGTCTCTCCACGATCTGCCTTTGTTTCGTGTAATTCTCCGGTTACACGCTTCAGCTTTGAACAGCGGTCGATATCTAACACTCAGCCGGGGCAAGTGTACAGATCCTTCGACACACAAACTTGTCCGTTAAATACCTGCTCCTTCGGGCAACTGAGATAAGTCCTCACACCGGTTACGCAGAAATAATACTTTTTACATTCCGTCCCCTGTTGTAGAAAGAAACCATCGCGTTCGCAATATTTGCCACCGTTTTCAATGATGTCCTTCCTGGGAGATCCGCAAATGTGGTGAGTAGGCTCAACACACGCGTGGCCATCGAATATCTTTCCGCCAAGGCAAGTTAAAGTCGCTAATCTGTCACCGCCTTCGCAGTAAAAATATCTGTAAATAAAAAAGTTTATGTAATTAAATAATATATTAGGATAATAATAAAATAAATTTGTTTATCATTTATTTAGTGTTACAAAATAAATGGCATAAATAAAAAAGAAAATATTTTACCGGTGGCAATTAGAATCCAATTCAGCGTGATACCCGTCTGAGAGACCAGAACAGGAGTAATCCTCGTTCGGACATACACTCGAGTCCGCTGAAACACACGATTCGCCATCAAAGACTCGTCCCGCCGGGCACGCGTATACGGCTTTTTCACCATTCACACACGCGTAGAAGCCCCTGCATCCAGCGTCTGCAGCGCGATAGCTACCGTCGGCTTTACCGTAGCAGGAATCACGCTCGAGACTAGGGCATAAGTACTGTGATGCCTCTGAACAATGCGCACCGTCATATACTTGTCCTGCAGGACATTCTAGCGTAATCTTTAACGGGCCTTCGCAATGATAGTAATTTGTACAATTTGAGGCCAGATCCTGATAAGTTCCACTCGGCATTCCTACACACTCCCTAGATCGTATAGGACCCTCACAATGGAATAACTCTTTCGAAACACATGTGACGCCATCAAATACTAAGCCTCTGGAACATGAGCCGCGAGCCGTAACTCTTTCGCGCTGACACTCGTACCAAGAAAAACAATCTTTCCAGTCTCTATACAAGCCGTCTTGTCTATTAAAACAAGGACTTCTAGCGGGAGGTGGGCACTGCGTTCGTGCCGCGGGTTCACATCCGGTCCCCGAGAAAAGCAACCCAGGTTCACATACTCCGCGTCGAATAACTCGGTGTGTTTCACATACAAAATATTCTCGACACCCAGTTGAGCGATCTGCGTAGGCACCGTCGGAAACTTTTTGGCACAGTGAAGAGCAGGCTTCATCAGAGCAAAAATCAGCATCTCCCGCTGGTAGGGGTACAGCAGCAGCGCGCGGGGGTGGACATGTAGTGGCGCATGCTCCGCCACAAGACACTACGGCTTGTAATTCCGACCCGTGGCAGCGTAGCGTGCGGCGACATTCATGTGAGGAATCTGGATAATTACCGTTAGGTAAACCCGCACATACTGGTTCGTAGCAGGTGCCGGCGCCGCGTGAGCACGCTTGCCTCGCCAGATCAAACCAGGACCCTGAAGGGCATGTGTGGTCGATGACGGTACCATTCACACAACGATAATAGTGGCGGCAGGTCGTCCCTGGAGTAGCGTATGCGAGGGTATCTCCCGGCGCACAAATGCGTCGAGTACAGGAAGAACTGCGTCGTGGAACACAAGCTTCGGCCGTTTCACTGAACACGCGCCCCGGGGCGCATACGTAGTGTCCTCTCACTGTCCCACCAGAGCAGCGTACATATTCTTGACAACCAGTATCGTAGTTCGCGTAGAGGCCATCCTTAATGCATGTGAAATCGCCATCTACGAAAAAATATAAAATCATATATAAAATATCCAATAAAAATTGACTTGGAACAATTTTTTTTTAAAGAAAGTTAAGTGTTAACAAAAATAATCCGCACATAATGGTAGAACTCACTTGAGAATATAGCGGCTGTGACAGCGGAGAGCAGGTGTGCGGCGAGCGCGAGGCAGTGCGTGCGGGCGAGCGCGCGCGCAGACATGTCGGCTGCGACTGAGGCCGCCGGCCGCAGGTGACGCATCGGATAGGGTTCCTTGACATTCGCACGCCCCCGCTGTAACTCGATCCCTGCGGTGGCCCGGATGCAGCCTTCGAGCTAGGAATCTAGACACGCCTTGTTTCGTAGCGCCTGTTGACTTGCCGACCGTCCGAGAAAACGACCCTGACCTTTGCCGTCGTGTTATGTAACGAATGAGAATTTTCACTCTTTTGGAAAGTTTTCTCAGATTTGATGTATAATGTTATTTTGTTTCTGTTGTTTATAATTATGCACTTTAAGCATAAACATTCAGTCCATATTAACGAGACTTCCATTGCTTTTTATCTTCAATGTTCGTTTATCATTCTACGATCGTATCCGTGGGAAACACTTATAAAAAAATGAGCAAAAAAAAAAAGATTACGTCAAATCGTAATGAAATAATGAATACTTGGTATTGTTGCAGATTCTCTAAGAAATTGCGTTTGTAGATGTAGCAATAAGTAACAACCTATAAAGTTGCAAGGTGCAAATTGCATACACAATATCTTAATATATTTTTTATAATATAATATATACATATAAAAGCTAGTTATGATAATAGCCTTGAATTTATCCCCGATTATAATTCTCGGATACTTAAAAGAACGTTAGGAATGTTATCAGTGTTGTGCGATCGCAGCGGGTCGTCATCTGCGGGTGGCAGCTGTCGATGTAATCAATTTTCTTATCAGTCGATCATTATTACGCTTTTGGCAAGATTATCATTAATTTTTGTTTTAAGCTTGAAACGTGGAACGCTTCAAGTTGTAGATGCTCAAAGCACCTAGTTATGTTTTAGTACGTAGGTATCTACTAATTGCGGATTTTATTTTTAGCGCTCTGTTCATTGCTAATAAACATTTTGATTTACCTCTTTTTTTCGGATTTCAAGCAGTAATAATATAAAGTCATAATTATGATTTCATTGATTTCGTACGGTATACATATGAACATAATGTATCCTTATCGTTTCGCGTTAGTAAAACTATTAACACTCAAAACAGTACATTTTCATGCCGAAGCCCTAAAATTAAAATGTGAAAATTAAAAAGTACAAACTCATTGAATTAATTATCTGATGAGATTTTCTAATTATTCTTTGATGTTAATTGATCAAAACAACTGTAATGGAGCATATTTCTTCAAAAATAATAAATATATAATAGGTACATAGACTAATAAACACATTACACTCTTTTGCGTCGCGTAGTCGGGCAAAAAAGGAATTTCGCAAAATAATTTACAAAATGTGTCTATTTATCTACAAACGACGAATTTTCATGAATTTTTTCACTTTTCAATCTACCTGGGTGAAACTAATTTGAATTTTAATGCAATGGTCTGTGTTTAAATAATGCAGACCGTTTCCGCTTTAAAAAAACGCGAGACAAATAAATTCGATCAATAGTAAATTTTAATTAAAAACCCGAACATGGAAAATCCTAAGAAGTTTAGGTAAAAATCGTCGTTCGAGGTTGTACTGGAAAATATTTGGGATTTTTGGACAATTATATTTAAAAAATGACAATTTCTTATATAAACTTTAACAAAATTTTCATATTATGATGTTTATTTGTTCTTCTAGAAAAACGAATATGCGCCTGCAGTACGCAAGCTTGGTCAGTATTTACCTACATATTATGTCGTAAATTCTATATCGGTTTATTGGTTAACCTTTGTAGAGCTAACAAAAAAAACAGGCTTTTCCATTTCGGATAAACTTCCAAAAAGCCCATACCTCTTTTAATTAATATGAAAATTGGTACACAGCACGTCAAATGTATTTCGACGTGAATATGAAGCAAAATAAGCGCATATTTATTTTCAAGGTCAAATGTTTTTTTTATATATAAAAAAATATTTTCAATGTTTTTCGCGTTTATAAAAAATATTTTCAATGTTTTTCGCGTTTATGGCAATAAATATTGATTTTAGAGGAAAATACTTATATAATAAAAAGTTGTAGGCCATAAAAAATTGCCATTTAATTTTCAATACGTTTTTCGTGTAGAGCCAGTAGTTTGGGAGAAAAATGCACGTTATTTTAACACTTACAATTCTTCTGATACTAACCGACATCTATAATTTTCGAGTCGAAACTGCCACCAAATTCAAAATAACATAGCACTTACGTTATTCGGGGTTCTGGGTTAAAAATAAACAAAGACCTAACGATATACGATAATAGTCTACTTATATTTTAATCTGCAAAAGTAAATTATATCGAAACTAATGGAGCTTTAGCAAAATACTTATACAAATTTTGGAGAATTTTCGCATTTTTCCCTCAAACTACAGGCTCTACATAAAAAGCGTATTGAACAAAAAATGCCAGTCTTTTTATGCCTACAACTTTTGTGGGAAATATTTTTCTCTAACATCAATATTTATTGCAATAAACGTCAAAAACATTACGAAAATGTTTCTTAGATTTGATCTTGGAAATAAAATTTGCGAGCATTTTGAAATCATTTCCGTTATTAGCGTATCGAAATTGATATGTATATACTTATACCAAAATTTAGATTAATCGTATGTGCTATTCGGAAGTACAATACTCATTTCTCATACTTAAGCTAAAACCAACCTAAGCTAAATTAGTTAGAATGAAAAATATTTAGAACCTTCCAAAATATTTAATGTAAGTATTGAAAATAAAACCGTACATTTTTCAGGGATAAAAATTAGCCTATGTGTTATTTCAGACTATAATCTATCTCTGTGCCAAGTTTCATCCAAATCCGTTCAGCCGTTCTGGCGTGAAAGAGTAACAAACATCCATACATACAAACTTTCACATTTATAATATTTATATAGATATGGACATCGATACAAAATACTTTTTAATCACATAATTGAGCCAAATCTTAATTTAAGGTCGGTCTCGAGCGGGTGTCAATACATTCGAGTTATGCGACTTGAAATGAATTGCATACATGCATCTAATACGTGGACCGGATCAAGTCAGAGTTAACACAAGCACAAGGTCGTTAAACTCACGTAGCACGTGATGCTTAATCAACGTATGATATGATTAGTTTTTGTACTCAGTAGTTGAGTACTGTCACTGTGACAAATGTCTTGTACCGTTCTATCACATCAACTGTTAATATATTTTTATAGCACTTGTTAAGATTCAAATACCTAGTCAAGGTCTTTGGAAAAAGATTTTTTGCATCTGACCAAGCCACATAGAAGTTCCCTAAAATTTTAATTGTATTTATATACCGACATCTAAAAGGAGGAGATTGTGTGTTTGGCTTATAATTATTATTTTTTTAGATTTGGAACTTAAATTGATGGGTGATTTTTTTCATGAAATGTAATATAATATGATAAAATTACTATTAGTCCTTCAACATAAAGGGCATCAAGTCATAGTCACTATTGTATGTAACGGTGTACCTATTTATTATAATTGATCCTTAAATGATAACCCTTGTGAAAACGGATCACAATTGGCCGAGGTTTTGCTTAACCTAAGTACATGCAAAAAGTATATACTAGAGTACCTATGTATGTACCTCCTTCTTTTTAAGTTGGTCAAAAATATCCTTAATACCACGCTTATTATAATCAACAAATAATAGTTTATTTGTTAATTATAATAAGTACATACAATAATGACTATGACTTGATGCCCTTCAACATGGACTATGGCTTGAAGCCCTTCAACATGAAGGAATGTGCGAATCAGCGGACTTTACATTTTCGAAAACGTGCTTGCTAACTTGTTCCCTGACATCAGGTTAACTCGCGCTGTTTTCCGTCACCGTAAAATAAGGTGGTCATGTTAGAAATGTTACGTACATGAAAATATCAAAGGCTTAAACCCGCTTCACTCGGTTTTCAGTGCAAGCGCGTTGCCACTGAGCTACCTATCCATAATAAATACTAATCTAAATCATGAGTTCCTATAGTAGGTAAACGGACAATAGGCATTTATAGCCCGAGAGCTGGTGACGAATTTTGGGAAGGTCCTTTTTTAATATATATATATATATATATATATATATATATATATATATATATATATATATATATATATATATATATATATATATATATATCTATATGCTTAGGTAAAGTAAACAATTATTATAAATTTTATATATTGGCATCTAACAAAAGTTTCATTTGTAACTTGTGTATAGATATAAGACTTTTGCATATAGTAGTATAATAGAAGAAAAATAATATAAAATTACGTCAAACATGGTAAAATACTATAATTTAAATACACGTGTCAGCTCTATTACTTCGGAATGATTTATACTGTAAACAATATGTTGTATTTAATGACCTGATTATTTATTTATATTTGATTTTCTAATGAAGTGGATATTATGTTAACGACTTAATATTTTCATAAGATCTAGGTATTATATAAACAGATTGAAAAATAAAAAATAAATACTTACCTTTTAAATTCATATTTATTTAAAGTAGATGTAAATGTTACGAGCAACTTGAGAACTCGAGAGAGGTCACTACGAATAATGACCGGTCTGTATAGATAAAATCGTATCAAGTGGGCAATGTAAGTAAAACTGCATGACTAAATCACTTTTCTCGGTCAGTATGAATAATGGCTACCCTATCTTGGGCCAGAATAACAATATAATAAAACAGATGAAATGTAGTGTTCTGGTTTTTAATACGAAATTAAACTTGTATAATTCTTATTGAATGGTACAAAGAAGCAATTTAGCATAGTAGTTCAAAATAAGTTAAACAATTAAACGTAATAATATCAGTTGTTACCTTACCTATATTTTGATAAAAAATTGTTATCGTTCAGCAGTATCATTACGAACTAACACGTCGCTGCGTGTATTCGCGGCCCTCCCCCTGCGCGCACCCCACGTACGTCACATAGCACCACCGAATTTGTCACATTGCCCGGCTTGAAGTAGGGAAGTATTCATTCTACCCGGTCCAAGTGATCAATTTAAGCTTTCTCAAATCTTGATATTTTAAATGGATCAGGGGCCGGCCAA